TTTGTAAGTAGTCAGCATTGAGTTCTATTAGCATTTGCTACCAAGTAGAAACACATGTCAATTGCAGTCATAGTTAGCAGTCAATACTTTGAATTTCTGGACTTTCCTGAATGATGCATATAGTTATGCATCATTTATTCAATATTTACTGTTATTCAATTGAAACTCTAGACTAAGAAGCACCCACTTATAACTGATCATAATGTGTATTTGTAGTACACAGGTTTGGTTTCTAAATGTACATATATTAAAATTTCTCAGTATGGCTGAAAGTGTGTCAATTTCACTTGCAAGCTATGACATATTAAGACAATACATCTTAAACATCCTTAATCTGAAATCCAAAATCTGAAATGTTCCAAAATCTAAAACTGAGTGCCAACATAGGCACACTAAAAATATTGTATAAAATTACTGTTGGGCTCTCTACATAAGGTGCATATGAAACATAAATGAACTTCATGTTTACATGTGGCTCCCATCCCGAAGATATTTCACTGTGTACATACAAACATTTCAAAAGCTGACAAGATGTGAAATCTGAAATGCTTTTTGTTCCAAGCATTTTGGGTAAGGAATACTCAATCTATGTGAGAAATTTGCTTATCACATTACCTAAAGCATATTGAGTGTGGTGAATGGTACAAATTATTGGTTTTATGTCAATGGCTATTGGCCATCATCACTTGGGTCCATTGGTGAGAGGCTGTGCTGCACTTGTTCTTACTAGACAGTGTCTTGGATCCATGCATGCAGACCTAGGCCGGCTTCTGGGACTCAGACCTCCTCTATTTCATGCAGTAACTCTGCGGGACGATCCATCAAGTCCCACTGCAACTCATTCTCATGGCTATACTGCCTACTCTACTTTAGCCATGTTATTTCCTTCCGTATAATCACTGATTTTCTGACTCAGAATATAATTTCTGGATATAATAACAATACTGAACTTTTAAGATAGTAAATTTTGCTGGTAATAGTGACACATTACCATTATAACCTCAGCATTCAGGAGGCAGAGACAGGAGGGTCATGAATGAGTTCCAGGTCAGCCTGAGCTACATAGTGACACCACCTCGAAAAAAAAAAAAAAAAGGACAAGCTACAAAGTAGATGAAATTATTTGTAAGCTATATACCTGGCAAATGACTAGTCACCAGGATTTTATAGAATGCTCCACACTCAACAGTAAATAAACGATCCACCCAATTAGAAAATGGGCAAGAGATATGAATAGGTGTCTTACCTCAGAGGGTGTACAGATGGCAAATGAAACTGCAACATAATGCTGCCATTACACTCTTGGACATGTATCCCAGAGTACTGAAGACTCATGGTCCCACAGAAACCTTGATATGAATGTTTATGTCAGCTTCATACCTGACAGCCAAAAACTGGGAACAACATGAGTGTCCTTCAGTGAGTTAAAGGTTAAACCAACTGCTGCATGTGTACCATGGAATACTCAGCAGCTAAAAGGACCCAACCCTGGACGCAGGATGGCTTTGTGAAGTTCCAGAGATGTATGCTGGGTGAAGAGAAGCCAATCTCCAAAGTTAACATATGGGATTATACCAGTTGTAGAACATTCCTAAAATTAAAAAATATATATTGATCCCAGCTACTCAGGAGGCAGCAATTAGGAGAATCCAGGCAAAAAGTTAGACACCCCATCTCAAAAGGGTATGCTGGCATGGGTCTATAATCTCAGGTTACAAGGGAGGTATAGGTAGGAGGATCAAAATCTGAGGCCAACCCCAGGCAAAAACCTGATGTCCTATCTCAAAATTAACTAAATCAAAAAGGACTGGGACTGTAGTTCAAGTGGCAGAGCACTTGTCTAGTGAGTGCAAGGCCTTGAGTTCAACCCCTAGTACTACTCCAGTGAGTGCAAGGCCTTGAGTTCAACCCCTAGTACTATCAAAAAGAAAAAATTACATGAATGCAGAACTGATTGCTGTGTGTCAGAGTTAAGGAGCGTTCAGGGTGGGAAGTAGGTGAGGTTATAAAAGGGCAACCCAAGGGATCCTGTGGTGAAAGAAATGTTCTCTTACTTGACTGTATCAATGTTTATGCCCTATTCTTTAGATTGTTCCGTGGTTTTGTGAAAAGTGAGTGATGGGCCCCGGAGCATAATACCCAGAACAGGATACCTTGGTGTACTGAGTATTTTACACTGAAGGAAACTGAGGAGGTCACTCTTTGTCCTTTCACATCTTTCTCTCTGAAGAAAGCTATAAAAGAATTCTCTGACCTGAATTCTTCCCCCTGAAATAAAATCATAAAACCTTCATTCCAGAGGGCTCCTGTCCTGTATCCCAACAGAAGAAGAAATTGGCAGGAAAATGGGCTATAAGAAGCTCTTGCTGCTTTTGGCTTGGTTGGGGCTAACACTTCAGAAAGTTTATAGCTAAAAGGACAGGGGGCCTGGCAGTCCATAGAGATGGGATTTAAGTCACAGTTTCTACCTAACAGTCTTTTTTGTTGATTTCACCTGCATCTGTTAACTCCTTAACTTCCTATATCTCTTTCTCTCTACCCTCTGGCCTTTATAACTAAACTGAGGACATCTCAGAATTTGTTTTTTACTAATCCCATCCACTGTGATGTGACACAGCCAGGAGACCCTCACCAGAGCCTGGATCCATGTGGGAATCCAAATTGGACTTTCAGCCTCCTAAACTGTGAGCTAAATAAACCTCTTTTCGTTATGCATTAAGGAGCCTCAGATATTTTGATATAGCAAAAGAAAATAAAGAGAGTGTCTGTGCATTGACGCTAGTGAAATGGCAAAACAGGAGGTAAGTAGGACAATGAGTGGATGGGAGGGTATATTGGGGGAGACCAGTCAGTCAGTTTTGGAGATGCTCAGTCTTTAGCTCAAAGTATCCTGGGTTCATCAAAACTCAAGGGAGGTGTCCAGTATTCAAGCATGTCAGTCTGGAGATGGAGAAAGAAAAGTAGGCTGGATTCATCCAGATGTGACAATCCTTGGGTCCCTGAGATTGGCTGAGAACCAAGTGAATATCTATACCCTCCAGTCTAAGCCCCCAGGAACAAGGCCATGGTAGAAGAGTCAGGCTTATGCTTCACTGCAGCAAAAGAGAATGCAGTCTTCCCCTGGGAGTCATGGGGAAGCCTGGTAAGCAGCTGTCAGAAGAACCAGTCATGGGTCTTGGGCTTATTTGGGTCATTTGAAAGAAAAGTAAGGAAACAAGAATTCATTCTGGATTGGATGCTGTCAGAAAGCAAGGAGAATTCTATGACCGGGTGTCTCAATACTTCTTATTCACAGGGAGGGCAGTGAGAGCCAGCCACATCTGGTAACTAGTCAGTAGCAACCTGTTTTAGTCAAGAGGGGAGTGTTTCCGTCTGTGCTGAGACAATAGTAGGAAGTGGTGCAACTCTGCTCAGAGGACCATCACCTGAGGTTGGGTTCTGTGAGAGGGAGTATGTATTCATTTATTACTTTTTTGGTGGCATTGGGGTTTGATCTCAGGGCTTCACTCTTGCTAGGCAGGTGCTCTTATATAGAGGGTTTATATCCAAGAAAAGGACCTCCCTGCCTGTCTCGGATGTCCTTGCCTAAACCTCTGTGTAGGCTGGATGTTAAATGTTCCCCAGAGCCCCAAGTGTTGAAGCTTATTCCATAGGGTGGAGCCATTGGGAAGGAGTGGTCTGTCTGAGATGCTGGGTCTTGCTGGAGATCCTTTGTCTCCTTCCTTTTGCTTCCTGGCTTATGACATAGGTGGTTTTGCTCTGCTTGTACTCTCTTCATGATGTACCACCTCACCACAGGCCCAAAAGCAAACGGGGCCACTTGATCATGGACTGGAACCCCCAAAACTGTGAATTAAAATAAACCCTTTCTCTATATAAGTTAATTGTCTTGGGTTTTTTGTTATGGTAAGGGGAAGCTGACTAACACAGCATGTGTTTCAAATTTCCTTTCTTGTGTGGAAGGAAATGGAGGAGGCAAGGTGACTTGGTGAGAAAGGACATGAGGTAGCACTTGTCAAAGGCAGTATTGGACAATGGCTGTACCCACAGCCCAGGAATCCCTTATGTTTGGGGAGAAGTAGGGGAGCCAGGGCATATAATGTTGAAGGTTGGTCCTCTTTTTACTATGGCCATGAGCCAGAAATGCCAAAGGCCTTGATAAAGACTGCCTGGGTTCAGAGTCCGCGGTTGCTCCCTGAAGCTCATTTCATAGGAACTGTTATTGAAGCACTGTGTATAATCAAGATGTTTCAGGAACAAGCTTCATGCCCATGGCAGGAAAAAAGCAAACTAAAGTCTGTCGGTACCTGTGATGTTAGCGCCTACACACTAACATCACAATAAATGCATCAGTGTGTAGAAAAATCAAGCTTCCCCTCAGCAGCCTGAAAGAGCCAAAGGTCCTAGGAATCTACTTCTATAGGGAGTGTGGGCAGACACAGGGAAGGCCCCAATGGGAGAATCAACTTAAGTTGGGTCTTTTCTGTCAAAGGATTTAATCAGTAATCACTGCTGTTACAAATGTTACTCTCACTAGCTCTTCCCTTATGCTCACGTCATAGATTCTGCTTAATATGATAAAAGTTTCTATTAAGAACAAAGGGTTGTTATCCTCAAGGGCAAGAATTCCACTAGATGCCCTGGTTCCGGAGCTGATAACCAAAACCAGCTGTTTCTTTAAAACGTCTTTGTTCCCAAAGTCCCCTCCTAACCTGGCCGCTTTCTAATTAGCCAACCTCATAGACTGTGAGCCCAAAACCTGCTCAATCCAGGGGCAGGGGAGGGGCAGCATGGCTTCAGATAAAACCCCCTGCAGTCCTCCTGCCAGGTGTGCTTGCTTCCCAGACTTTCTGGTATTCACCCTTCTCCAGAAGTAAATTTTGCCTTTCCTATTGACTTCTGAGTAGTGTCGTCTCACTTGTGACACCCCAATATCTTAAAGAATTTCTAACACCAGTAAGGTGACAGGTGCCTCAACAAAACAGAAGACACTCTGGCCAGTTTTGCATGCTTTTTTTTGTTGTTGTTGTTTTTGTTTTTGACAGGTCTGTGCATTTGTAGCAGGTCCTGGCGGAGGCATCCGAGGCTGTGGGCCAGCGGACGACCCCACACTCACACCAGCTTCCTTAGGAACGACCCTCAGCGCACCTGCGCCAGATTGTGCCTCTTGTACAGCAGGGCCTGCCGCTTCTCGCGCTCACGCATGAAGGCGCGCAGCCGAGCGGTGGGGAAGGTCACTGGCGCGGGTTTGGAGCCGGCGGGGCCCTCCTCCGTCAGCCAAGGGCACTGCAGACAGCTGGTGGCGCAAGGCCGACCCCTAGGGCAGAAGAAAGGTCAGGAACCAGGTGGAGGGTGGAGCAAGGAGGGTGGAGTGGATAGGGCAGAGAGCGGGGCTACAGGCAAAGCCAGTGGAGTGGGCAGGAGAGCGGAGTGGATGTGCCGCAGTGGAAGGGTCAGCGGGACGCGTGTGGGGTGCGTGGGTCGAGCAGAGTGGGACAGGCGGTGAAGACGGAACGAGAGAAGGATATAGGTGAGGCGAAGAGTGTGATGAGGCGAATGTGGGAGGCAGGCGTGTTAGGTGAACGTGTTGGGTTAGGTGAACGTGGTTGGAGTGGCTGGGAGCCAGAGTGAGCAGGGAGCAAGGGCATTTAAGGAGCAACGGCTGGCAGGGAGCAAGGGCGGACAGGTTGGGTCAGGCGCCTTACCAGGGTCGTGCGCACAACGCACTGCTCAGGAAGGCCACAGCACCCCCAGATAGCCCCGCATAGCAGCGGCTCAGCTGGATGAGACCCTTGCGCAAGCCTTTCTGCAGGTCGCGAGTTCCCTCGCTGCTCACGGGGTACTCAGCACTCAGCCTGCGTGGGTGGGGAGTGGGTGACCATAGGGGCTTTCAGTTACAATAGATGGATGGATGAGGGGATACAGGGACTCAGAGGTTACCATATTTGATGGTGGTGCGTGGGAACTGAGGTCACCCTTCGTCATATGAATCGGTGAGGGTACATGGGAATCTGAGGTCACCCTCAGAGGGATGGGGGCCTATTCCACCCACCTGGCACAGCCTCCCTAGATACCTTGAAGGACTCACATTATGAAGGCTGTAACACCGATGGCCCAGATGTCTGTCTGTGGAACAGCCCCCTGGCCTTCCAGAAGCTCTGGAGCTGCAGAGGAGCATAGGTGGATAAGCACAGATGGAAGGGCACAGATGAGAGACACAGATGTGTGGGTACACATAAGAGGTACAGGTGGATGGGCACAATTGGGTGGGTTGGGTGAGTGGGTTCAGGTGGGGGATACCAGTGGAGGAGGCCCAAGTGAGAGGCTAGTGAATATCAATGCAGCTGGGAGGGGAGGGCAGGAATGGCAGGAAGGGGCCCTCCTCCCTGCCACCACAGATGAGGTGCCCCACACGCACCCATGGTTTCCAAGTAGTCCTTGAAGTTCACAGGGGGCAGCACTTTCTCCTGGCTGAGTGTCTGGGCATTGCCCAGGTCCACAACCTTGAGCAGGTTATACTCTGTGACTATCATGTTCTCAGATCTTAGGTCCAGGTGCAGGATATGCTGGGCATGCAGGTACTGGGTGGCACTCAGCATCTGCCACAGGTAGTCCTTCACTTCAGATTCTGAGTAGGAGGCCCTGAGGGCACATGTGGCTCAGTACAGGCCCCTAAATGGGTAAGTCCTACCCTACCATTGCTGGGCGCACATGGGGAAGAGTGAATGGGGGGGTCATGGGGATGGGTGAGGACTAAGACCACTGCCCAGTTGGTTCAGGAAGGGAGTACCCAGATTCTTCTGAGCCCCAGCTTTGAGGGGTTAGGCAGGTGGAGGTGGCAACAGTGTCCACAGTCCCTCTTCCATAGCATCTGTCTGTTCATCTGTGGGTCATGGCCAGCCTGTGCCACACTCACCTCTCGGCCAGGCAGGGAAGCAGCTCAGGCCCAGAACATAACTCCAGAATGAGCACCAGGTGCCGGGGGCTGAGGTAGGCAGCATGTAGCTGGGCCAGGTGTGGGTGCCGCAGTCTCTTGAGGACCTCATATTCCCGTAGCACAGCTGTCTTGTCCCCAGGCTGGTAGGGGACAATCTTAGCAGCCAGTGCCCGTCCACTGGCTTTCTCCTGGCACTGCCGCACCACACTGAAGCGGCCTCTGGGTACGGGAGACACAGGAAACTTGTGAGAGGTCCCCACACACTCAAACTAACAGGACCAAGCTGAGCAAGGAGGTGAGGACAGGAGGCAACAAGATGCACTAGGAACATGCTTTGGCTCACTGCAGGGGGACGGAGGGGTTGGAAAACAGGGGCATGAAGCGTTAGCAGGGGAGGTTGAGGCACCATTCCCATCCGCCCACCATTCCATATGCCCCTGCACCTCCTGATATGCATCTGGAAGGCGAAGGTCTTTGTGCTGGGGAGGGGCTGGACTGGCTGCCCCCAGCCACTCTCCTCCTCAGAGGCTGTGAGAGGAGGGACAGGTGATGGGGTCAGGGAAGGGCATACAGACAGCCCCAGCTCTCCTCACCTTTCCCATCACCCCTTCCCAGGCCCCACACAAGTGACCCACACACTCTAATCTCTCATTCATTAAGCCGTTTTTCAGGGATACATGGATAGGGTTGCACAGCATGTGGAACCCCATATCATAAGTGACTGTGTGCATGACAATGGTGGGGAACAGTACAGCATCAGGGATAACAATCAAACCATTTTGCACCTTCCTCAGCCCACAGCGGACATTACTAATCAACTACAGACTTCTACCACCAAATCCAGACACAGCACCTAAGGAAGTCCCACCAACTCTCAAGGTGATATGGGGAGGGTTTGTCTGCTTTCCAGCAGGTATGAGGGTTGTGTGGGGGGGGGGTCCCTGGAAAGTGCAGACACAGCTTTCTGTCTTCTGAAGACAATGGTCAGCCCCAGGGACCATGGGCAAAAGGGTGCCTGTACTTGACCCACTGGCTACCCTGTGCACCCAAGAGTGGCTCACCCAGGTGGCTGGGCCCTCCGAGGAGGACCTGCTCTGAGGGGCTGCTGTAGGGGCCCATTCCCGCCTTGCTGACACACGCTGTCCGGAAGGCATATACACCACCCCGGGACAGCTTGCTGGTGAGGTAGCAGCAGTCAGAGATGTCAGAAGCCAGGGTGGTCCAGCTGTCACCTGGCCATAGAGAAGTGAGTGAGAAGCAGTTGGGGAAGGGAGGAGAACTCTTCCCTAAGGCCGCCCATGGCCACAAAACAGGCCAGGTCTCTCCGAGGCCCCTCCTTGCTGACCTGGGTGGAGGCCCAAGACTCAGGGAGACCCCCTGTGGCGGGGAGCATGGGCAAAGATACCACCCTGTACCTTCTTTGCAGCACTGTACAATGTAGGTCACAGGGCCAAAGGACTCCATGGGCTTCCAGACCAGCAGCACTCTGTCCACGTACACCTTCCCAATGTCCGGGCGTGGGGAGGATGAGGGGCGCTCTGTAAGGGGCCGCCCCATGGTCACTGTGCGCATTTGGCTCCCCAAGACTGAGCTCTGTACAGGCTCTGCCTCACCCTCAAAAGATGCCAGGCTCCCAGGCCCACCCTCTCTTCTCCCATTCATTTGGAGGGGGTGGTTCCAGCTAGAATGGGTAGAAGAGACCTGGCGTCTCTCCTAATGGGGGAGTCAAGAGATACCTGCCTTGCCATCTCTACCAGGACCCCCTCCTGAGCTGGTCACCTCACCAGGGCATGTTCAGGACTCTGTGGAGTGGCCCAAGCCCTGGTCAGAGGGTCCTTGCCCCAGGGGCTCAGCTCTGCCTAGTGCCAAAGCACAGAGCATGTGGGTCAGCCAATGCAGGCTGGCCTCTCTGGAAACCACGCTAGAGGTTCCAGAGCTATGCCAATAGCCCCCATCTTGGCTGCCCTAAAAGTCCCCAGGCACTGTGTAGGCAGGGGAGCAATGTAGGAAGATGGAGTAGTGTGAGCAGGCTGAGAAGCCGAATTCTATGGCAAACAGGCATGTACACAGGCTTTCTCTCCGGCAAGAGTGTACAAACAGGCTCTGTAATGTCAGCAACCATATCTGGCTCTTTCTCTTTTCCTGGTCATACTGCTTCTTCCAGACTAGTTCAGGGGCTCCTGACAGCTCAGCCCCACCCAGTAGCTCCATCTTTTTGTAAACCTTCTGCAGCCTCCTGTGGCTCCTTCCAGACCTTGGCTGTCCGGGAGGTACCTATAGCAGCCAGATACCATGCCCAGCCTCATCAGGAGCAGGGCTGCTCAGGGAGAATGTAGACACCTTGTGGTCATTGTATGAGCCTTGAGACGTCAGAGATGGCCCCTTCACCCTTTGCCCAGGCTCCCACAATGGAAGGAGCCAGCATTGTTCACCTCACGAAAGGAGATAAGGTTTTCTGGCCAGCCTCACTGGCCTGGTGGAGACCTCCAACAAGATCCACCCACCTGCCTTCCGGAGGATGCCTGTAGTGGCTGCAGTCCCCAGCGGGTTGCTCACACTGCAGGTATACACGCCCAGATCCTCTGTGGTCACCACCAGGATGGTCAGCAGCTGAAAGTTCTTCAGAGTAGAGGAAATGAGGAGGTGGCCACTGCTCTCCAGGAGGGCCCCATCTGTGGCAGAACAGAACAGAGCAGGCCTCAGTTTCTCTCCTGGACAGCAACAACCTCCTGCTGACCCCCGTTCTCACCCCCACTCCAGGACAGCTCCTTACCTTTGCTCCAGGTGGCTTGAGCAGCTGGCTGGGCCAACACCTGGCAGGCCAGGGTTACTGACTGGCCTAGGACCACGGTCTCATCGCAGAGCTCCCTTAGAAAGGACGGTGCTGAAAACGGGCATGAAATGAGCCTTGAGGAGACCTTCAGGCCAGAAAGCTCAGGTTGGACCCCATCCAGTCCTTGCCCGATCTTCAACAAGAAGCCCTCCAAGACTGCTCAGCCCACCATGATGGAGCCCTCCAGCTGGGCTCCAGCCCCCTGTGGTGTGTGGGAGCTGGCCCTACTGGTCCAGGCACTGTGGCAGTTGGAGTCAGGTCTCTGCAAGCAGTGAGAGCCTGCTAACCTTGGTCCCTGCCCTTGAGGCCTGACAGCCGGAAGGAAGCTAGGCCTGCCTTCTTCCTGGGAGGCTCCTCCTTCTCAGGACCTGCAGGAGAGAAGGGGCCTGTCAGGAGGCCTGGTCTTCAGCAGCAACAGCTTCCTTACCCTACACTCTAGATTTCCATGACACAGGAGAAAGGCCAGGACCCCATGGAGTTTGTGAAAAAATGGAGCTAAACATGCTGAGGCCACCGTTCCCATCCTCCCTCAGCAACTGGGCTGTCAGGGGCATTAAGAGGCCTTACAGCATGGGACACAGGCCTTGCCTGAGGGACAACTGGTGACTTGGATTCAGAACCTGGGGCCAAGAGGGTCTGAGATTGTGGAGGGTCTGGTGATGGGAGGGCGTAGGGTCAGGGAAGGCTGAGGTTAGGGAGGCTTCTAGGTGAGACAGAGGGCCTGAGGTCCTGGTGAACTTTGCCTCACTCTACAGGGGTCCATTCCTGAAGCTGTCTCCAGACATCTGCAGTTGTTATGTCTCAGATGTCCAATAAGGAGGGCTGTGTAAGGGCTGCAGGGGTGACCCCCAGGACTCTGGTTGAGGCCCACAGGGTAAGCCAGGAGGTGTGGGCATCTAGCACCAGGGAGGAGACCCTGAGCTGTCTATCCCTGGGCATGGGAGGGCAAGGTGACTCCATGGGTGCAGGAGAGACACACAGATGCACTGAATCATGGGGGCTGTCACCTTCTAGCCTGCCCTTCAGGATCCGGGAGATGTGAGCCATGGAAGCCTTCACTCTCTGGCGCAGTCCAAGCTCTACAGGCTCCTCCTCTGCTGGCAGGTTCCTCCGGGGGAACTGAAAGAGGCTGCGGGTAGGGGACCACGTGCGCTTCCTGCCTGCGGTGGCCTCTCCCAGCAGTGCTTCCAGGTCCTCTGACTCCTCTGTGATCTCCAGACCCAGCTCACCGGGCCAGGGCCAGGAAGCCTCTGAGAACTCTGCCAGCCCCTCCCCAGCCTCTGCCTCAGGGGATAGTGGTTCCTGCTGCTCCAAAGGCTTAGGGACCCTCCTGAAGATCATGAATTCAAATGGTAGGTATTTAATGTCGTACAGATCAGAGAGGTTGAGGTAGGCAGGATCCACCTCAGAAATGTCCAGGGATATGGTGTCAGCTGCCTCCGCATCACCCGACAGGTCCCGGATCTGCACCAAGGAGACCTGCCCAGCTTCATCCCAGGAGATCTGCTTTGGGGAGGCCCTCAGAGGAGCCCTGCTGGCATCGGGTACCTGCCCTAAATTGGCCTGGGGTTGAGGGCTGTCAGCTCCAGCCTCATCCTGCTCCTCTGAGGACTGGGAGGATGCCCAGGCCATCCTGGCCCACAGGGGACCCTGTCCCAGCAGGCCTCCAGCATCCCCACCAAAGGCAAAGGTGCCATATCCTGCCACCCCCGCATAGCCCCCACGGGATTCCAGGGAGAACTTTCGAGTGGTTGCCTGCTCCTGACGTCGTGGTAGGGGGGGTGTAGAGGCAGGTAAACCCCCAGCCTCCTGGGACAAGTCCTTGGTAGCTGGGGAGGGGCTGGACTCTGTGCCTGCCTGGGAAACTGGCCCTAGGGAACTGGAAAGGCTTGGGCAGGACCTCGTAGGTGGAGAGATGTCAGGCTCCTTCTTAGAGCTTGACAAGGGGCTTGCTTGGGCTGGAGAGGGGGTTGCCTGGGGCTCTTCTGAGAGGAAGGGGCTGCAGGGTGTCAAAAGTGCCTCCTTGATTGGCCCTGGACAGAAAGAGCCAAGTGGTTGTGAGGAGGGGCCACAGTCTTCCTGGGGGGCAGAACCCAGTTCAGAATGACAGAAAGGGTCTAGCTTCCCTCGATGGCTGTCCTTGGATGATCCCTCTTGCTGAGCAGGTCCCAAGCCACCACTAGCAGATGGGAGTGAGGGCTTTTCACCCTTGGGATGCCCCATGTCCCTAGCAGAAACCTCACAAGTCAACCCTGAGGGTACTGGGGTTAGACACTGTCCTTCGCAGTGGGTCTCCGAGGAGGGGCTGGTTGTGCTTGGTGGGTCATAGTCCAGGGAGTGGCTGCAGCCAGGGGTCTCTTGGGCAGTGGAACTGGGTAGCTGCGGGGCAGTCTCAAAGGAGTGTGTCTTGGTCATCAATGTGGCTTGCTCCTCTCTGGCAGCCTCCTCCTCCAACACTCGATGTTCCATCAGTGGCTCACGCAAGCCAGGCAGAGACCTTGCGATGTACCCGCCCTTTAGCAGGTGCCGCCGTCTAGCTGGATGCCGTCTGCCCCCTGAGGCTGGGCCCCCACGCTCAGAGCCCTCACTAGCTTGCTGGTAGAACAGGCTGCTGATGACACTGTGCCTGGGCACAAAGCCAGGGGCTACTGGTGGCCCAGTGCCCTGTAAGGACACTGGCGAGGCCCCAGCCTCAGTGGGTGTGCAGGCCTCAGCCTCCTCTGGCAGGCTGGCTGAGGGTCGCAGGAAGCCCCGGGGGTGTAGCAGCGGAGAGTGGGACACTGGGGAGGGTGGAAGCGACTTAGCCCGGGGAAATGGGGCGAGCTCATTGTCTGAGGAGGAGCTGGAGCTGGAGGAGCCACTGGCATCCTTGAGCAGATGCCGGGCCACTCCCAGTGATGGGCTGTCAGGTGGGCCCTGGAGCAGCTCAGGGATGGAGCGCATCACCAGGATGGACTTGTAGCTCATCAGGGACCGCTGGGGGTAGAGGAACAGAGGAATGTCAGGTGAGCATGGTTTGTCAAGGCACAGGACCAGGTGCCTGCTCCCAGTGGGCTCAGAGGGAGCCCCAGGACAACTGGAGTTGTCTGCACCCACCACACAATGACTGTTCCCTCCTCTCTGCACACTCAAAGGGCCCCAGATCCTGGATGAGGCAGACCAGCCTCGTTCCCCAGCACTCTGGCCTGGGTGGTGTACACAGCTAGTCTTCTCAGGGCTTCAGTTTCCCTTCCCTGGCCTCCAGCCCCTCCTGGGGTAGGTGCAGCTCACCTGCCAGCGGCTTCGGGCCAGAAGAAACTTGAGCTGCTTGGTATTGATGAAGTGGGCCTCCTCAGCAGGCAAGGACTTCTGGAGTGGGAGGGGAGTGGATACATTAATGGGAGACCCTGGTGCCCTGATGTGGGCCCCTCCTAGGATGGAGGCCCAGCTGGAAAAGGGTGGACTGGCCCCTGCCCTGGGACCTCAGGAGTCTCATCTTCTTAGACTCTGGATCTAGAATTCCAAGCCCTCACCTAGATGCCTAGGTCAAAGTCTCCAGATCAGAGGGGACAGTTACCCACTGTTCCTGACTTTCTGGCAATTTCTGTGAGGGTCACAGGACCCTCTTGCCAATGCAAAGGCATGAACATCTCTAAATTGGCTGGTTTCACTTCCTTACAGTATGGGGCTGAGCCCAGGCCAAGCCTACTCACCAGAAACCAAGGGTGGGCAAGGCACTGGGAGGTGCTGGGTCGGGCCCTGGAGGGAGAGGAGAGTCCAGGTAGACCAGGTGGTCAGCTGCTCCTGGGGTCATACCTGACTAGATCCAAGGAAGGGGAAGGGCAGGTCAGCACTCACTCTGGAACCCTTTGCAGTGTGGCCTTGATGAAGTCCTTGGCATCTTCACTCAGGTGAGCAGTCACTGGGCTGCTCCAAGACACTCGTCCCTCCAGAATGTTCAGGAGGGTGGCTCGGTCACTCTCACCAGCAAATGGGGATGAGCAGGTTAGGCTGAAAGCAGAGAAGGGATCTGGCCCTCAAATAAAACCCTGATGGGATGAGCTTTGTACCACTCCCATCCTACCCTGAGAATCAGCAAGTATCTCAGGCTTGTTCAGAAAGATCCAGGACCAGGCTCAGCTTGGAACAAGGATCCAGGCAAAACCTGGAATGATATCTGGGCTCAGCCTAGGGGGAGGATCCAGGCTCAAACTAGGACAGGGATTAAGGAATAGTTAATCTTCAGGGGTACCCAGACTTATCCTGAGGTGGGGATCCAGGTTTAAGGTGAGATAGGGATCCACAGTCAGCTTGGGGTGGCACCTAGCCTTAACCTGAGATGGAGATTCAGGTCCAGAATGGGACAAGGATTCAAGGTTAGTTCAGGCTAAGCACCAGCCTTTTCTTAGGGCTGGAATCAGGGTTCAACCTGTAGAGGAGATCCAGGCTCAGTTTATACTACCAGCATCCCTAGGGCAGCAGTAGTCATTGAGCGTCCTTTGGAAAACCCCAGCCCCCACCCCGAACCCTGCAGGGAAGCCACTCAGCACTGCCTCATGACAAGGTGTTTTTGAGAAACACTGGGTGGGAAACTCTTATCAGGGTTGGCTGACTGCCTGGTCCCAAGATAGCTGACCCATGGGTCTCAGGTCTAATCTGGAGAGTGGCCAGCAGAGCATCAGGCCTCCGTGGGTCTGCAGGGACAGGGTCAGCTTTGAGGAAGCTGCTGACAGAGGCAGGGTCTGCTCACCTGAGGTAGGAAATTACTCCCATGGCCCTGCAGGAATAAAACCACACACTGTGAGTCACCTCAAGCCCTGCCCATAGGCAAGAGGTGAGCACACAGGGAGGCATAAGGGAGTTCAGGGCTGGAGGGCCACTCAGCTGCCAGACGACTCCCCAGGAATGGAGGAGAAGATGGTCCCAGGATAACCACAGCCCTGCAGACTGGCCCACCCAACTCACCAGATATCAGAACCCTGGGTCACAGGATGCTGCTCGATGATCTCTGGGGACACAAACTCAGGAGAGCCATATTTGCTGTACTGTGGCTCTGAAGAGATGATTTTTTGGGCAAAGCCAAAATCACAGATCTTAATGTCTTCCCGAGCAGGGTGCACCATCAGGATGTTGGGGGGCTGTCAGGCAGAGTTGGGGAGTAAGTAAGGGCCACACCTCAAAAGGAGGTGACTCCTTGGGCTTTCTGGCCTAGAGGGGAACTAAGTGGTCTGCGACACCAGCATGGAGTAGTAGGAAACCCCCAAGTCAGACTGGGTATCATGTGGGGACAGTCTCCACCATCAGAGCCAGGTAGGCACCTGATGGGGTTACTTGGAAGTAGTAAGCTCCCTGTCCTTAGTAGAAAGCAAGTCTTAACAGGTGTCTGGACATAGGAGTCCTGTGCCTTTCCAACCTACGGACTCCAGGCTCACACCTGCCCCCACTCTGGTTTTGGAGGTGCCAAGGGGCAAGTACCTTTATGTCCAGATGGAGGATGCCATGGCTGTGTAAATAGTGCAATCCCTCCACCAGCTGCTGGATGTAGACTTTGACCTATGGCAAAGGCTGGTATTCAGGTAAGGTGGCCCAGCCTCAACTTCCACTCCACTTCATGCCCAGCTTGCTCCCAAAGACAAACCTTCCTCCCTCAATTCAGCACCTGGGACCAGCCCCACAGTATAGGTGGCATGCAAAGCTTTCCTGAATCCTGTGTGTCCCTGGGCCCAGGGATTCCCAAAAGGCAAAGAGAGTTTAAATGGATGAGAAGCAACAGCCTGAGCAAAGCAGGGAGGGACAGGCAGTGCTAGCCCACATGGGCAGGTGCAACTGGGGGGGGACTAAATAGGGATGCAAAAGGGCTGAGATCCTGAATGAGGGGCTGGACACGCCTGCATGCCCTGGGGAACCATAGGAGGTCTTTGATCCAGAGAGAGCTGTGCCTGCAGACTGAGGTCTGAGTGAGGGCTGGTCTGAGGCAGGCAGCTCAAACAAATGGTGGGTAGGCAGGGGCATGGTCACCTCAGCTTCAGTCACAACACCCTTCTTGAATAGGCGGTCTAGCAGCTCCTCAGATGAGCACCTGGGCTTGGTCAAGGAAAAGCTTCTGGGATTTGTAACACATCCAGCTGTTGGGTGCCCATGCTCACAGAGAGAAAGGCAAGGCCTGGGGCTCATGGAATCCAGGGTGGGGATTGCTGGAGCTCAGGGTATAGAAGGGGAGGGCAGGGCAGAGATCCTTAGAACCCCAGATGGCACCCACCCCTAAGGAGAGGAACTCCAGGCAGACCCTGGGGACTGAGCCCTTGGCAGCAGCATGGTGGGACTGGGAGCATCGTTCTTTCTACATAGAGCCCACTCTGGGCACCCCCTGCCTAGGAAGAGGACATGAACTCAGAAGAGATAAGGGACAGCCAGCTAATGGGTGAGGGAGCTTCCAGCTTCCTTAAGGGGACTGATGGACCCAGAGAGCTGTCACCATGACCAGCCAGGCCCATGGACCCCATGTACACAGCTCTTCCAACCCTAGTCTGGGGCCTGCTGCTTCTCTTTGAACCCAGGGAATCAAGAGCAGGATACAGTTCCAGGACGAGAATAAGGGTCTTCCGGGTCTCAAACTGGTCCAACAGTCCAGTGACCAGTGGGTGGTTGAGTGTGGCCAGGATGTCTCGTTCCTGGTATACCTGGACCCGAGTTTTGCTCTGCAGGGGGATGAACTTGGCAGCACAGAACATCTTGTTTCCTTTGTGCTGTACCCTTTTCACAAAGCCAAATACACCCCTAGGGAGAAGGGAAGGAGAGAAGGAAGCCTACAATGAACACTCTGTGCTGAGGGGTCCTGGGGACTCCCAGGGGATCCTGGGGAAAGGGACTGGAGAGATACCTCCCAATCTCTTCTTTGACCTCATAGAAGGAATGCAGCTTCCTCCGACAACTTTGTTTTTCTGAGTCTGGCTTCTTGTCCCCTGCTGTCAAAGCATAGGAAGTAGACAATATGAACAGAGGTGACCTCCCTGGTCCCACTGTGCCCTGATGTTTCATTGCTAGTCCTGGGCTTATGGGAGCCTCTGGGAACCCATGAGTCCAGGTGCCACAGTGGAGACAGAGGATGCCACGTGGAGACCTGTAGCCTGCCCAGGGCCTGGGAAGGGTCAACCAACTCACCCCCATGGACCATCAGCTCCGCCTTACAGAGCACCTGTCCACCATCATTATGGGCAAGACAGGTGTAGACACCTGCATCGTCCTGAGCCACATCCATCAACACCAGGGAATATGTGGTTCCATCCTGCTGGTGGCTGAACCGGGTGCTGTCCATTAGCTGGACATCATCCTGGAGACACAGGATAGGCCAGCTGCCATCAGCCCATCCTGGGAGACTCTGGCACCTGTGGTCCACCCCATCCTTTACTGAGTGGTGCTTCCAACACCTGCTGCATGTCCAGCCCAGAGCCAATGTGGGGAAATGCAGGATCGTGTGGCACTACAGGGTTTGCATGATCCCACCCCCAACCCCCATCACACACACACACACACTCCAGCTCCTGAAGGCTACCCCCACCCTGCCTCGCCTGGGCCTGTTCCTACCTTGTACCAAGTCACTATGGGCTGTGGGTTGCCTTCGATGACAGCCTCAAACTTTGCTGTGCCACCTGCCTGTACCTGCACATCCTCGATGGTGACCTGCATGGATGGGGGCCCTGGAAGAGATGGGAAGGAAACCTGTGGCTACAATGCCCTGGCTGCCTGCTGTGCACGGGTGGTCGGTGACCCTGGGCTGAACCTCAGGGCAATGGGGCCCACCTCCCTCCCACATAATTGTCTCCCCCCACCACCCCCGAATGTCCAGGCCTCTGGCAGTTGGGAAGTGTTTCTTTCCATCTACCTACTGTCTCTCCAGCTATCACCTCAGCTGGCCAAGCAGCCATGAGGATATACAAGCCAAAGTAGGAAGAATGTGCTAATTTGGACTGTCACCCTTGAGGACAGGGACCCCCAAATCTGTCTTTGGCCTGCCTTTCTCCCAAGGAGGGTTCTGCCCTCCAAGGGGACATGGAGAGAAGGGGTGAGGGGAACATGGGGTGAAGCATGCTGGGTGACTTTAGCAGACCCCTCATGCAAATGTTTGCCATATTGGGCACAGGTGCACACACAACCCAGCTGGCACACTCCCATACTTGCAGCGCTAGCATCAGTGGCCTGGTACAAGTAAGTCCTTTGTGTGGTCTCCGTGACCACTTCTCTGTGCACATCCCAGAGTAGCAGCTCCATGTCTGCACCTGGCCAGGCTGTTCCTTCCACCCTAGAATCACAGTACAGTGAGCCATTACTCAGCTGAAGTGGCTGGAGGCCTGGCCCTCGCTTTCTGGGCAACTGAGCCTCATAAAAAGATGGGGACCCTACCTGCCTCTGCTTGAGGGGGTTGCAGCAAAAACTGTGGGACAAGCTGTGCAGACAGAGAGCCTCAGGCCTTTGACAGAGCCCCCTCCACACACCTCTTACCAGAGGGTGGCCCCTCTTCCCTGCCCTGCCCACGAGTTTGGGCTAGGGGTTGGCAAGAAGTGGACTGGAAGGCTATGAGACCACCATGGCCACATGGCCAGAGCAGGTTAGCTCTGCCCTGCCCACCCGCAGAATGTCCTGTGGAGGACAGTCCTCTACCACATAATTCAGCTGGCCGGGGGAGGTTACCGAATGGGCACAGTCCATCCCTGGGTCCCAGCAGTAGTCACTGTCTCCTGCTCCAGGCCTTCGTGGGGTAGGGGCTGTGGGACCTTTGGGGGCTCAGCTGGTGGGAGACAAGAAGCCTAATGAGATGGAGCCAGGCTGGGGCTTAAGCAACACTCCTTGTGTTCATGTGCTGCCTACCAATGTGGGCCTCCATATTACCAGACTAGGGTGGGTAGAGGTACTACTAGCAGCAGCTACAGGTCCCCCCAACTGTGATTCTAGAGTGAATTCATGAGTGAGAACTAGGCAGCATCCACATCCCCAAACCCCAGGCTCAGTCCACAGTCCACTAATGTATGTATGTATGTTGGCCACATTGCAGAGGCCAGTTGCCAGGACTGTCCTGTTCCCTGCTAGGGCCACCAGCCCTGAGGTCTCTGCCCACCAGCTAGGCTGATACTTGGATATGCAGCCTGTGCCTTCCAGGACACACCCTGACGAGCATGGGGAAACTTTGAACATGCTGACGATCCCAGTACCATTTGGGCTGAGTGGTTCCAGCAGTTTTCCAAGGGCAGGAGTGATGTGTGGGCAGGACTCGGATGAGCATTATCCAGCACAGCTGCCAAGAAGCGTGGTGTGGGACCCCACAGAGGACAGTAAGGTCCTTAATCCCAATCCACCCAGCAGTCAAGGAGAAACTTAGGATAACCTAAGCCGACAGATGGTGTGTCTGGGAAACTGAGGCCCCAGGTAGGAGAGAGCCCCCCAGTGCCCTGCTGCCTGCTGCAGGTGAACTGCAGGAACGGTAGCAAGGTGTCTACACGTTGCCTGCAGGCTGGCATGTGGCATTCAAGAGGCAGGTGCATCCCCATTCCCCACCTGGTGGTCAGGGCTGGGGAAGGAAGATGGGACAAAGCACTGCACCCTCTAAGGACAAGGCTAGAAGTCGTTCTGTGGTCAAGCAGGGCATAGGTAAGACACAGGCAGGGTTAAGGTGGGCATTGGGTGGCTGTGGCAGATTCTGAAGTAAAAAATGCACTAACTCCAGGCAGGATGAGCAGAAGGAATGGAGCCAAGGTTGGGGTGGGGGTCATATGCTCACTCTGAAAGGCACTGGGCAAGATAAGTAAATATGTTTGTGATGGTGACCACAATCTGCCAGGCACAGGCTGAATGGCACATAGAGGTTTGTCTGCTTGGCCACTGTGCCTGGGCATGAGGAATTCATCTGCTGTGATCCAGCAGGGCACATCCCACACACAATGACAAGGGTAAAAACAAGGGCCAGGCTGGTCCTCATAGCCTCTGCTTGTGTCCTTCCACCCCACCCGCAGACACTGGCACTGCCAGATGAGACAAGAACAAACTGTCATATTTTGGGGACTGAGATGGGGACACTGGGCAATCATGGGCATTTAGAGTCTAGAGGACACTCCTGAGCCCATATGTTCCCAGAGCACCCGAGCCAGCTGGAGATGAACCTGTGTTTTTCCAGGGCTACCAAGCATCTGAGCATGGAGAGCAGAGCCAAGGGACGCTTTGCCTAGCAGGGGGAAGCTGGATCCCCCACCCTTGCCCTCAAGCACCCTATCCCTGAGGAAAGGCTTGGGCAGCCACATGGACAGTGTTGGGTTCACATGCCCAACTGTACATGGGCCAGACTGAAGTGTTAGTCCAAGCTTGGGACTATCAGTGGCAGATACACTCCAAGATCACTGGGGAGGACACTGAAGCCCCAGATCTGCCCTCTCCTAATGGCCCTTCCCTGTGTGAAGCCTCATCTTAAAAGCAATGGAACCACGGAAGTCCCTGCAAGATGGGGTGGCAGACCAGAGAAGACAGGCACAGTATTGTGGGCCTGGATGGGTCTTTAGGTAAAGGTGATCAAGGTAGAGGTGAGACAGGGCCTGAGCAAGAACAGCAACAGACCCAAGAGAGTCACATAGGCAGGATGCAGAGAAAACAGTAGACAGTAGACTCTGGATGGTAGATGGGGCTAGGGGAAGACAGAGGGACATGGGTTGGCCATGTCCCACCCTGAGCTCAGCCTCACTCCAGTCCTGTCCTCAAGAGGGCTCAGCACAGTTTCCCCTTTCTGTCCTCCCTGGCCCTGACCACCAGGCAGGGAGTGGGGATGCGCCTGCCTCTCAGATGCTTCATTCCAGCATACAGGCAGAGTGTGGGCACCTAGCTATAGTCCCTTTGATTCACCTGAAGCAGGCAGCAGGGATCACAGGGACTCTCTCATTCCTGGGGCCTCAGTTTCCCCAGATGTACCATCTGTCCTTGGGGGAAAATTCCCTAAAGTGTTCCATAATAGGAGGACATGGCTTACCCAAGGGAAGGGTATTGGTGACCCACAGAGCAGCCCCTCCCTCATCTCTCTCTCCCTTCTCCACTCCCTCTGCATCCTCCTCCCTATCCTCCTTGTCTTTTTCCTCTTCCCCCTAGTCTTCCACTCCCTCCTTTTACCTCCTCTCCTTTCTCCTCCTTTTTCCCCTCCTCTTCTCTACCATCCCTGAGAAGCAGAAGATATCCCAGCTGGCACAGTACCAACAAGGGAGGCCCCTGGCTTCTGAGACAAACTTGTGTCCAAGTTCCAGAACTCGCCCTGTCCCAAGTTTCAAAGATGGGAAAACTAAGGCCAAGTGAGGGGCAGGCCTTGCCCAGAGTCCCCAGCATATGGCATCAGTCATCAAGGTTCAAAATCAGGGTCCTCAGGGCTCTGTCAGTTCACACACTAGGGATGGACATTCAAGTCAGAGTCAGACAGCGAAGGTTGGGATCAGCACAGGATAAGGAGGTCTTTTCAGTCAGTTCCCCACCGGGCCTCACCAGGTGCACCTGAGACTGCAGTGCCTGGTGACAGGGGACTAGCCTCTTGAAATGCAGGTGGCCCCCTTGGGCTGGTGCCAGCAAAGTCCCCTGCAGAGGAGCCAAGAGCCTCAGTGCCCAGTAGTCTCTGAAGGACAGATGTGACTTCCTGGTCTGCTACATCCAGGGCAGGGTGGATAGAGTCCTCCAGGGTTGTGTCTGTGAAGAGGTGGGTTAGTACAAAGAGGGTAAGGCCCAGGGGTCTGGCATGGCTGGTACCTAGACAGAAGCCAACTCAGTCCTCAGAGACTGCCCAGGTAGGCCAACCCCTGCTTGCTTTTTCTACCTGCTTCACTCAGGAGGTGAAGCTCAGGAGACTCCTTGCTCAGGAGACTGCCTGGAGGTAGAGGCCTTGAACCCAGAAAAAGAAGCCCTGAGACCCACGCTGGGGGCAGCTGCTTCCTCCACCCAGAACTGCAGGTGCTCAGGACCTCCCCTAGAGACTTTAGACACTCTCTCTAAAGTGCCCTTTCACAGAGGATACTGCCCTCGGTGTGCCACCTAATCCCTACAGATCCTCCATCCCAGGGCTGGCACACCTCAAGGCTGACTCTGGACTCTAGGGTGCTGGGCTTCACAGCCCCAAACCTGGGGAGCAGCCTGATGCCGTGTCAAGGGCCAGGGAACTTCTAGGGGTGGGTGTCCAGTTCCAGTTGGCCATGGCCTTTTCCAAGGGATAGGTCTACTTCTTAGGGCATCCCCAGTCTCCATCCTGACCCACTTGATGAGTAGCTTTCTCTCCTCCACATGGAGCCTAGCCCAGGCCCAGCACCCTTCACATGGTTCCCTTCCTCAGTTTCTCACTTAGTCTCCCGCCACGCATGGCTCCTGCTCTTGTTCCAGGCAGACCTTTCTAGACCTGCTTGCTAAACCCTGAGCAGCCTCACACATATGCCCTAGGAAGGCAACTAGTCCATTGCCAGCAGGTCCCCTGCCAAAGCCTTCCCCCCGACCCCGACCCTTCTCAGGCACCTCGGTGGCACCCCTGGCGCAGGCTAGACAGGCAACATCCCGCCTCCCCCAACTCCAAGACGTAAGTTGCACCCCTGGGGCCTCAGGGCTGGAAGTCAGTTGAGCCCTGTCCCTGAGAGATGGGTTCTAGAATTGTCCTGGGTAATTGTCAAGGACAATGGAGTCAACCCCTACATGCTGACAGCAGGCTGCAAGAGCATCACTATATTACCCTAGCCCCCGTCTGTCCTACAACAGTCTCAGCTGTCCAGGAAGGCCTACTTGGCCCTTGGCAGAGCCAAAGTGACTATTATGGGCTGTTCTGGTCACACCATGTTCCTGGAAGCAGCCCCACAGCCCCTGTGTGTGGACAAGCTAGATCTGTGTGCTGCCAAAGTCCACCTGGGGGCCTGGAGGCAAACTGGGACCTGCAGGCACTTTATCTCAGCCCATAGGCCAGCAGCCAGGCCCAGGGGTTTGTATGGCTCCAATGTGACCTTGGAGTCAAGGAAAGAGGGTTGGCCTAGCAGTTGGCTGGTATGGGCCCACAAGTGGTAGGATCCTGAGCTATTGGGTGCAAAAGCAAGAAGAGCAGAGAGGAGTGGGAGGGAGCTGGTTTATTATTTTTATCAGGGCCAACAGATGGGGCATCTTCCCCCACACAGAGCTTGTGTCCACCATGCAGAGAAATCCCTGGAAGATCTGCAGAGCTAGTGAGGGAACAACACAAGCCTTGGAAAGCCCCCCAACTGAGGGGTCTCAGGCCATAGCCCTCTGCCTAGAGATGGGCCTGACTGCTGGGACCCACGTGGGTACAGGACAAATGTCCAGCTCCACATCTTGTGTCTAGAGCTCCAAGACTTCTTCAGGCCAGAAGGAAAGAGCCCAGAGTTGGAGTCTTTGAGCTGCTCCCAGTCAGTGCTCTTCTTGAAGTGATTTCATCACATTCCAACATTGTAGACACTTCCCAGTCTTCCTGGATGAAGACCAAATCCAGTGAGGTAGGAAGGGCCCAGGAAGGAATGCAGGGCAGTTCCAAGCCCCAAGTTGCAGAAGAGCAAGGGCTGTAGGTCCGAGCACACATATCCAAGGTAAGTTGGCGGGGGGTGGGGGGCGGGGGAGGGTGGGGTCCAGGGCTAGATGTGGATGCCCACAGGGTGCAAGGCCCTAAGGGGCTCCCCTCTCCCTCCTGTCCCTGTGTAGCCTCAGCCCTGAGAGGGGCCAGAGGCCTCGTCCCCATCTGGGCAGATGCGCAGAGTGACTGTCTCTCCCACAGTCCCAAAGCTGACTGTCTGGGTAGAAACCTCTGTTTTGAAGCTACTCTGGCCACTGTCCGCAGAACGCTGGACCTGGGTGCAAAAGGAGGCTGCCCAAGGAGTGCTGCTCGCAGGTCTGGCTCGGGCCTCCCGCACAAAGAAGGAGATGCCTTCAGAGCTTTGGACCTGTGGCCCCATCCTGAAGAAGCCAGGTGGGCCTCCAGGACCTGGTGGGCGCCCCACATTAAGCAGGAAAGGTTGCCCTACGGTAGGCTCACTAATCTCTCTCTGGAGCACTGAGACCTCACAGGGTGGGTCATTGGGAATGCAGGACTCAGGGCTACTACAGCCGAAGTTCTCCCCTTCCTGGGGCACATAATCTTCCAGGTCAGCCAGGGTCAGCACACGGCCATTATGTGTGAGGATTTTGGGGTCACGGCCCCGAAGGCCATCAGTGTCCTGAGGCTCCTCCATCACAAAGGTGTCTTCTTCTCCATCACCTCCCTCTGCCACCTCCATGGCACTCTCCTCCTCCAGGGAGGCCCTGGTCTCCTCTAGGTCAGGGCTTGCAATGCCTCCAGCGTGCACACAGAAGACCAGGGGCTCACCAACACACTGGGCTCTGGCCTCCTGGTCCACACACTTGTTGTTAGAGTTGTTGGTGTTGGGGTCCTTGTCAGGAGTCCCACTGGGTAGGGTGAAAAGCAGTCCCCCTAAGCTGCCAGGTACCTCTCTGACAGGAGATGCACCCTGTGACCCTGTCTTCTTCACCCGGACTTCAATGGTCTCCTCAACCTCCAGCCACTTGGGCTGGGGCTCAGCACCCTGGGGAAGGGCTGAAGAGGGAGCCTCAGCCTCTGTCACATACAGTGTGGGCACGGTAGGCTTCCGGCCTGGCTCCACCTCGATCCTGTGGGGCTGGCTGGTCCCTGGTGTGTATAGCAGCTCAGTGGCCAATGGACCTGGCCTTGGTGGGCTGGCAGAACAGCAGGAAGGCGAGCGGGAAGGTGACTTGCCAGGGGACCGTTGTCGGCTACGGGGACTCTTCACCACGGTGGTGATGGTCTCCTCTCTGGTAGGGGGAGAGGGTCCAAGAAGAGGTGGGCACAGAGACCTGCAGCCTTACCCAGCACCATGCCATCAGCGTATGCCAGAAACCAAGTTAATGCATGTACGAGTGAGTAAGGGATGAGACTGCACAAACTCCTATACATGCACTTGAGCCTATCCTGCACAACTCAGTTTTAAAAAGCAAAAGAAACAAAGCACAAAGTTCTGTGTGGTTAACCTTAGGCTCTAGCATGTGATGTCGAAACAAGAGTCAAGGTGCTCGGAAGACTCATGCCACATCACACACCTCCAAAAAACAGGAAAGGTCCAGAATGAGTTTTCCCCCTATGCCAGTCTCCCCTCCTTGTCCATCCCACAAGCAGGCTTGTGCTTTGTACCATGGGGGAGGGTGCCTTGCCAGCTCTCACAGAGTGCCACCTACATGCCTCAAAAATCCTCAGCTACAATCAGCTGGACAGCTGATACAGCCAGCTGCATGCACACGGCCAAGCTCCTGCCTGACCTGCAACCTGTGCTCCTGGTCTCTGGGTCTGGGAATAAGAGGCCAGTGAGGCTCCAGTCAGGCCGAGGGGAAACCTAAGCTGGACACGTAGCTCCAGACCTGGCTCAGCCATCACAGGACATGTAATTTAGGCTCCTTCCCCAATCCTGCTTCCATCTGCCAAAATGGGGTGTGGGTGGCGGGGAGGAGGCAGATGCAAGGGCAGGAGCATGGGATGCACACTAGGCACTGGCCAGGGACTCTGCAAGTTCTTGTCTGACCCTGCAACAGCTCTTCATAGGTGTTGACAGAGAGGGTAAAAAGGCTCAGAACCTCCACAGAGCCAAGTGTCAGAAGCATACTTGTCAGTAAAGTCCTCTAGCACCAACAGCCCTGACTTTGATGGTTGCTGAGATCAAAGGGAGTGACAGACAGGAACAGGAACAAGCTAAGCTCCTGCTGTCCTGGCCTTGGGGTCTGTACTTCTCTCAGGCATAGTCAAAAGGGCTTAGTGTCATGTGGTGATAGCTTGGTGCCGTCACCAGACATGGGCTGTGACTAAGGTGTCCCTCTCCCTTGTTTGGCTATTCTTTTGTCTAACTCAGGACTCCATCTAGAAGCAGTTGCTCCCCAGAATGCACCCAGAGACATGTGACCAACCCTTGTGGGGCACAGCACACGTTCTACAACCTCTAGCCCTCACGTAATAAGGAGGAAATGTTCTAGTCTACCTAACAGGCAAGCTCAAGGTCACAAGCCATCTTCTTGCCTCCTCTAGGCTCTGGACATGGGCCTGTAGCTGAGTTGGAGCCCACCCCAATGTCAGGTGATCTGGGCCAGGTGCCACCTGCTGTCTCATGCTTCCCACTCTGCTGACAGGGCAGGAGCCGAGTGGAGCCAGGAAGGTGCATCACTCCCCAGTGTCTTTGGAAACAGGTGGAAGGGGTCTCTCCCCAAGCCCTGTTGCCTTCTGGCATCCCTGTCCCCCAGTGGCCTTCCAAATGTGGTCTGTCCATGGGAAGGGCTGAGCCTAACCAGTTGTCTCCTGCCTTCCTTAGACTGAGGGGCACATAAGTACATGCCTCTGGAATACCCAGTCCACCCTACCCTGAAGCTCCCAAGATGGGGCTTCCCAGCTTCCTCTACTCCCCATTTTCTCTTCCATTGAGAAGAGAATAACAATAATACTCCCCTCATAGATAAGATGGAGAAATATCTGTGCAATGCTCCAATGTGGCAGCCTTTCTCCAGGGATGGGGTACTCACCACTCTCAGCCATGCCCACTTAAAGAATGGCCTCAGAAATCTCCTTTGGGGGCGGAGGGAGGTCAAGCAAGGGCTAACTTAGGACCTCATCAAATGTCTGATGACAGGATTCTCCAGCAACAAGGCCAACTCTGAGCCCCCTTTAGTAGGTTGTAGGACTAAGGGGCACTAAGTGGTTTCCCATCCTGGGGCTTCCTAACTTTGTGAACTAAGGAAAACAACAGTCTTTTCTGCCTCTTGGTGTTTGCAAGCTCTCTCACACCTGCACACACCTCCTAATGGAAATCCTCCCACATTACCCAATTCAAAGTAATCCTACATTCTGTGGGTTCACCAAGCTCGGATCCCCTTATACTGTTTTAAAAACATATGCATTCTTTTCCAACCTTAAAGGCACAGAAAAGTGAAGAAAGGACAAGTGGGTGTAGCACGAAGGAAATGGCTCTTGGCTGACTAACAACTGTGAGCCACCCTGAGCTGGCCTCCTCACTTCCCTGAACCTCAGTTTCCTCACCTTCCAAATGTGAGGGATGGGCTTGGAGACTTCGAACCACTCTAGGGCTGTGATGCCTACAAATATTGCAGTATTTAATTTAGATCCAAATGAATATAAATTAATATTTAAAATTAAGCTCTTGGGTTGCACTAGACACATTTCAAATGCTCAAAAGACACATATGGCTAGTGGCTGCTGTCCTGGGCATTGTAGATATATGATATTACTGACTACACTGTGAAGTTCTGTTGGACAACACTGCCCTGGATCCTCAGGCAGTGAGGGACACAGTTCTGCCTCTGGCCCACTAAGGAAGCAGCTCTCAGGCCCAGCTCCACCTAACTTGTGGAAATTAGGGCCCAGACCCTGGGTGAGCAGAATAAAGTGGCCCTGCTAAGAAGTGGGGCCACAGAAAAAGTGCGGAGACCCTCAAAGATAGCTGTGCAGTGTGGAGACAGCTGAGGTCCTGGGGAGAGTGGCTATGAAAGGTGTCTGTAAGTATGCGCAAAGTGCTGGCAATTCACAGGGTGAGCAAAGGCTATGTGTGCAAGCAACCAGGCAAGCAGATGACCAGGACATGCAGGCAAGGTCCAGGCAGGCCCAAGTTAGTGGTGTACAGGCGGCACTGCAGTCAGAAGGAATGTTAGAAACACGCCTGCACTTACATGATGACGGTTTTCTTGGGGACTTTAGTCTCTTGCTCAGTGACTACAAAGAAAACAGTCGGAACAGCAAGGGTTACAGACCAGCCAGCGTCTGAGCCACCTGAGTGGCATGGCAGTATAGTAACTTGCTCAGCTTAGGAGCATGGCCAAGCCTTGCCTGGCCATGTGTCCCTGGGCAGACCTTCTCAGCCTGGAGCTCTAGCTCATCCTTGAAACAGGTGACAATGCCTACCCTGGATGGCTGGAGTCTGAAGGGGTGTGACAACAATGCATCCCGCATGAGGCCAGGACCCACTGCCTCTCTAGAGAGGGCTGTGGGGGAAGAGCTTGCCTCTGTTGACTGCATAGGACTGCCTGGGAATTTGTTAAGCATCTGATCTTCCTCCTCAGACACAGACACCGAGCCCTAGAGAGGGAATGGGCTGTGGCTACACAGTAAACTAGCAGCCACACTGGGACCCGACAGCTGATGCCCTTCACCAAAATCCCTAAAGATGTCCTAAAGGTGTCTCTCCAGGAGAGCTGGACGCTGGAGCCCCGAAAGTAGAACATCTGAGCTCCGTGGCCTGAGGCATGCTCTTGGTAAGAGCAGCCCTCACAGGGCATCTGAGCAGAGCTCTGAGTTCCATGTGAGAAGGGTGACCTCAGTCTGCCCACTGGAGCACTCTCAGTCCATGAACACAATGGCTTCTCTTTCTCTCTCTCTCTCTCTCTCTCTCTTTTTTTGTCTCAGTTGTCTCCTTCTCAGAGCCAGCAGAATTGGGTTATGGCTCCCACCTTGCAAACAGGGGACCTAAGTTCCAGAAATAGGATGGGACTCATCTGGGATCAGGCACTACCTGCTCCAAGCTATCTTGAGGTGTCTTCCTCTCAGTTTCTGCAGAGTGGGGCTTGGCCCAAAGATGTCCCCACCTAGCCTTGGCCAGCTGGACAGCAGGCAGCCTACAGGTTACCAGCAACCTCACATCTCAATAGTTCCCCATCCACCTGTGGGGAAAACTGGGCAAGAGGCCCAGAAATATCCAAGGGCCATGGCATAGAATACACAGCCCCAGAGTACCTGGTCCATGGGATCTCCTTTGCTACACTGCCACATAGAGAAAGGTTTCCCTTGGTAACTTATAGCATTGTAAACCTGTTTCAGATGAGCTGCAATATGAATTAAAGTACTAGCTGTGTCTGTGCATTTGGAAGATACATTTACTGTGTGTTTGTGTGCACACACATGCTTATGATGTGTTGCATGAATTCACACACAAGTGTGCTTGTGTATGCCTACTCATGCTTGCACACATATGCATGGATGTGCACACAGGTGTGTGCACTCATCTGTGCATGTGCTCACATGTATATGTGCATGAATGCATACCTGTGCATATGCATTTGTGTATGTATTTGCACAGGCTGCCCCCTACAGGAAGGGGAGCTCAAGGGAGGAGAGACTGGGATCCAGACATAAAGCTCTGGGTATGTAGACTAAGTTGGGCCCTGATATGGCCAGCATATTCACCACCTGCAGGAGCAGGATGATGAGAAAACTCCAGGGGTTCTTTCTTCATCCTCCCCAACTGGCTCCCATCTTGCTGGTCTTGAGTGTGGTGGACAGGACACCTCTGAGCTGCTAACCTCCTAGCACCTTTATTCACAGCCCTCAACTGCCACATGACCAGCTTTGGGACTGAGTGAGTACAGGAGGGGTGCAGGCATGCGAAGCAGGGCTCCCAGCCTGGTGCAGTATACAAGCAAGAGGGCAGTGCCTTCCCACAGAGGCCTGCCAGGACCCGCTCTAGCTGCAGAACCACAGGGTTAAAGATGAAGCAGCAGGACAGGAGTTAAGAAGCACAGCGGCATCAGGCTCCAACTCCAGAGTCTTCAAAGACCAGCCTTCTCGCCTCACCAAAGTGTCAACGATGCACCTGACACCAGTGGGCCCCGAAGGCCTGCTCTCCCACACTGCCACCCCTCCGCTGTATCCAGAAAGAGACTCGTTGTAACAAGTGAATGACTGTAGAGGATGCTCTTGTCCCCAGAAAGAAGAGGTGGCAGAAGCAAGTATGCATGGTGATGTGGTCACCAGGTGGTAGGCCCAGTAGACATCACAGGGCCCCCAGGGACATAGGTTGGACACAAGAGACCCACAATAGAAAAAGGTTGGCCAGTGTCTGTGGCCCTGTTAGGGATAAGAAACAAGGACTTCTGGCCTCCGAGGAAGGGGTCTCTGTGATAGCTGAGGATAGCATCAAAAGTTCCAAGGCTGAGCCACAGGGCTTGAGGTAGCTGAATATTTAGGAGGGTTGTCCAGATGAACAGAAACTTCCTGATGTTGAGCCCCAAGAAGGATCAGTTCCAGTGGCCAAGGTACCACAGAAGCCAGCTGTTGGGCCTCAGAAAATGTGAATTCTAACCCATCCAACTTGTGGGAGATGCGACCCCACCTGGAATGGGTCCAGCCTCTGCTCACAGGCCCCCAGGGAAGAAAGGCTTGCCCCTACCCGGTGGCCTCTTCCAGGCACTGCTTCAACCAGGAAGCCCAGGACAGAAGCCAGTTGCTACCCCTCCCCATCCTGGCTGCTTGAGCACTAGCTGAACTAGTTGAACTAGATGACCCTACTGAAGGGATGTGCCATAACTCCCTTCACCTTCTGTTCCTAGTGAGGCTTATTATGCAACCTGGTCCCTTACCAGAACCCCAGGAGTTCCCTACTCCAGGCAGTATTCTAACCTCTCAAAGGCCAGACCCACCCGGTGGGGGAAGGGTCAGGCCTGACACCTGCCACTGCTCTACTCCGAGCAGCCAGGTCTTCTGCGCTCAGTGTGGGCCCCTCTTGAATTACTGTTGCCACTTGCACAGGGCCTCCCTCACCACTGCCATTCAGGTTGTCCCAGGCCAAGGTATGACCTTCATGTATGTGTGCTATACTGCAGAGATAAGGGATAACGCTCCAGGATCCCCCATCCACTCTGCAGCCTTCACTCCAGGCTCATGGCCCACCCCTGCCAGCTCACACAGGTATGACAATCACCCCACAGCCACCTCTGTTGGCTCCTCCACAGCCAAGGCCCTCCCTGCCCTCAGATGCCAATCCTGCCCCCTCCTCCAGGAAGCACACTCTGGTGGGAAGGAGAGATGGTTTTGGCTGTGGCTCTGCCCAGGCCCATGGAGGGTCCAGCCCAGGGTTCAAGACTTCAGGATTCACTGAGATAACATAGCAGTGCCGTGAACCTACCTTCCACAGCAGCCATGAGCTGCTGTCTGTGGTGCTGGTCCTGGGCCCGCAGTGCAGGACTCTGCATATACAGTTCTCCACCACCACGTGTCGAACCCAACCGGTTCACCAACTACAAAATGGATAGCAGAGGCCCATTGAGAACCAAAGCTGCCAAGAGATCTGGAACATCTCACTTGGCAGTCTATAGCAAGGGGTCCCCACTCTGGTTGTGTCCCCCATGAAGGAAAAGGCTAGCCCAGCCCTGGCATCCCCACATGGCCTCCTGCAGTGATAGAAGCACATCCAGAGTGTGATTGCTGGCAATGGGGTCTGTGAGCACTTGACTGAGTAGTAGGAATCTTAAACTGGAGTCAGTTTTAACTGATTTCAACTTAACTTTAAAGCATCATTTGTAGCCACTCACATCTGTATCAAAGTAGAGGACCAGAGCTAACTTGGATTCCCTGGCTTTCTGAGAGCTTCCTTGGGGGCAGGCTCCCTGAGTTCATGGGGAAGCCATTCAGAGGAAGCTGGCCTCCAGACAAGTGCCCAGGAAAAGAGGGACAAAGGCCAGAGCCAGGGGCTCCTAGGGCATCCACAGTGGGCAGATATCTACTTAGGGTCACTGTGGGAAGACCCTTGGAGGACCAGAGGAGTCTAACTGGCCCCCAGCCCTGAATCTGAACACAAAGCATAGGAGCAGAGGGCAGTTTTGCCATATGCAGGGCTAAAAATCCCACATGTGCAACACCAGGCAATGTTAGGCAATGACACTACATCTTTACATAAGTGGGGTCAGCACCAGGCCCCGCAAAAAGCCAAAGACCAAGTGGCATCCTGAAATGGTGGGGGCAATGGCAAGGGAAAAGTTAATAGGGTCCAGCCTGTTTTGGAAAGAAAGGCCACAGGATAGAGATTGGGCAAGGCCAGAGTGTGGGGTACAGAGTAATTGAGGATGATTGGCAACAGTGATCTGGTGTCCTCTGACCTCTGCCTAGAGGGCCCAGACCTTGATGGCAGGGCCTAGACTCATCAGACTCCAGAGGATGGCTGGTGATGAGGAGTGTGCCCCTTGCCCGCACACTTTACCTCGCACTCATAGTGCCCCAGATCTTCCTTGCTGCCTGCCCGGATGACCAGCACCAACACACCACTGCGGGGCACACTCAGCATCCGGTACTTGCTGCCAGAGGTCAGCAGGGTCCCATCCTTGTACCACCTAGAACCACGCAGAGGGACCATGAGACAGGTATTAAGCTACCTTCTGCCCTGGTAGTGCCATCTTCATGGTACTTTGTGCTCAGGGCCACTGCCATGCTCAGCTACCTGTGCTGGAAACTCCAACTATCCTACCCCCAGATTCTATGTCCTTAAGAAAGCCTATCCTCTAGAAGTCAGAGTAGAGCCTGGTCATGCCTTCCTTGCCACAGGGGAGCCTCATGTCCAGCATGCATCTGGGGCCCACAATGCCTGCTTTCCAGTGATGAATGGCTATGTCCAGCCTACACCTGACCTGGAGAACATGCTGCCCAACCCTACATCACATATAGGAGCCATGGCCCCATCCCCACAGGCCCAGGCCCCACCTGATCTGTGGGTACGGGGCGCCTTCAATGGTGCAGGTGATCTGTGCATCTTCTCCCTCCACAAAGGGTGTGGCCCGGACCTTGTTCACAAACCGTGGGGGGACTGCAGAGTGGAGGAGAGACAGAGAGACAAAGACACACAGACAAAAGAACCCAGAAACAGAAATGCAAAGAAACACACAGAGAGGCAGAGACAAAGACAGACACAGAATAGAGACACAGAGACAGGAGACAGAGATGCTGGAATGGAGCTAAAGGACTGCCAGAGCAGGGGGTTGCTGCATCCCCACCCTCAACAGTGCCTTCCTTGAGCCTGCAGGCAAGCCAAGGGTCAGAGTCAGCTGCCCATACCATTCTTCTATCTGCTCTGCCCTCTGGCCCAGCCTGTGCCCACCAGCCCCCCCACAGTCTCTCCCCTTCACAGGGGCTGCCATGGTAGGCCAGGCCAGGGTGATCCCAAGCTCAAGAAGGCCTGCTGCTCACCTTGCACCAGGATCTTCCCCAGAGTGCTGGCGTTTCCAGCAGCACTGGCTGCGAAACACATGTACTGGCCAGAGTCTATGCCAGTCAGGTTGTCCAAAATGAGGGCACATGAGCCATCAGGGTCTTCAATGAGGATGTGGTGAGGGTCCACCTCCACTGGCTTCCCATCTGGAAAGGAGGAATAAGGGTGTCACAGAGATAGAACCCCAAAGGCTGACTCCTTCGGGGACAAGAGACTGGCCTCTTCTTGCCTTTTCTGGGGCCCTTTGTCTATATCTCTTGATATCTGTATCTCCATCCCTTCCTCTGTCTCCAACCCTCCTTCAGTCTCTTTCTCTATCCCCATATCTCCACAGGGACCCAGACTTCTGTCTGTTGCTCTATTGCTGTCTCTGTCTCAATCTCTCACTGTTTGTTTCTGTCCCTATGTCTCTCTCTTCACCTGTCTTTCTCTCTACCTGCCTCTGTCTCTTAATCTCTGTGTCTCTACAAAGGGCATAGCCTAGACATCTGTCTCATTTCTCTCCAATTATGTCTCTGTCTCTTTCTTTGTCCAGCTTAGACATTGGTTAGAATTAGAGCCTGAGTAAAGGGACCCTAGCAAGGACATCCTATATGCACAGATAATACCTTAGTCACCCCCACCTTTCCAGTGACTCAGCAACTACCTACTTTGGGGTTCTCTCATATGCTGACTGTGCACCCACTCATTGGCCTTGGATTCCTTCCCTCACTCAATGTGCCTAGAATCTGCATGAATCACTGTATATCACTCCCTTCCCTCCTCCACATCTGGCCCTATCCTGCTTCCGACCAGTCATGAAGCTAGACATGGTACTCAGACTTTTCCCAAAGCAAGTAAAACTCACTCCCAGCAAGCAGCCAAAATTCTAGTGCCAACCAACCTTGAGGTCCCCCACTCCCAAGTCACACTCTTGTGCTTTCTCTTTTTAGGCTGAAGTCCTGGCTTCCTTGTCCATGAAGCAGCCAGTGCCTTACCCTCCCACCCAAGGAGACCTTCTGAGGCACAGAGCTTCCCTGGCTCATCACGGAGATAGGTACTCTTAAATCACCTTTTCCCCCGCAGTGTATAAATACCAGACACCACCCACCTTTTAAATTGTCATTGAGTGTAAAACAATTTTAAGACTGAAAAGAAATTCTAAAACACAGTAAATGAAGGCAATGCATGGCCTTGTAATAAAAACATTCGAAGAAGACTGAAAATTTTGTTATGTCACCCATCCAAACATCACTGACCATGACATGCTTCCTTCTTGGAAGAGGGATGAGGAGGGACAGAGATTTAGCTTTCCCCCATAGTGTTCAAATGTATAAAACGGCATAGACTTATACATTCCAATAGTTCTTGCTGTGATATCCCTGAACCCAGAGGGACTGAAGGCCCTTTGCACCCATGCAATATGCAGAGACCTTAAGAAAGAACTCAAACTTTCATGGCTCTGCTGGATCAGACTGCCCAAGTCACCATCTTTCCCAATCATCTACATCTAGAATGTGTTTGTTATTCTCAGCTGTGCTGGAGGAGGGAAAGAGGGATGTACCCAGTTGGGACATGTTCTATGTAGAAAGGTGGCAGCAACAAAGGAACTATAGCCCAGCCCATTCGTTGTCCCTTCCTGGACTGGCTGACAGAGTCAGCACAGAACTCAGGAGAAGAAAGGAAGTCCCAGGCCTCAGAGGCAGAAGAGGTAATAAGAGAGATCGAGCACTATGCTCCTTTGTGTAGCTGCCCACCACCTCTCCCCTTTTAATGGCATCCTAATAAATCTTTGCTTTCTCCTAAAAAAAAAGAGAGAGGTTGACACAATTCAGTGGTGTTGTGTGGCCAGTAAAAACAGCCAAATTGAGCTGTCTGCAGGCAGTGCATCATTACAGCTCAGCCAGTTGCTGCCAATGTACCTCTAGCTGGTATGGACATACTAGCTAAACAGCATCCACTGGTCAAGACTAACAGCTCCTAATGGGCCCTTCCTGAGCATTCTTCTTTATATATTAGCTGGTAATGGCCAAGATCACTTTTCATTCACAAGGCAACGTCTCCAGCAAGCGTCTGAGGTGTTCTTGTAGGAATCTCTAAGTCAGGACTTAGCATTCTTTTTTTTTTTTTCATTTTTCTTTTATTATTCATATGTGCATACAAGGCTTGGTTCATTTCTCACCCCTACCCCCACCCCCTCCCTTACTACCCACTCTGCCCCCTCCCTCTCCCCCCCCCTCAATACCCAGCAGAAACTATTTTGCCCTTATTTCTAATTTTGTTGTAGAGAGAGTATAAGCAATAATAGGAAGGAACAAGGGTTTTTGCTGGTTGAGATAAGGATAGCTATACAGGGCATTGACTCACATTGATTTCCTGTGCGTGGGTGTTACCTTCTAGGTTAATTCTTTTTTTTTTTTTTTTTTTTGATCTAACCTTTTCTCAGGACTTAGCATTCTGACCCTCAATGTCCTCTGACATTGTTTCTGTGGAACTGATGTTCCACTGGTTGGCAAATGAGAAGCATCCCTCTCAAATGACCTGATATGAATGCTAGTTACACTTCTCCACTGGTAGCAGTGGCTGAGAAGCCTAAGATTCAGGGACCTGCTCCCCAAGTTGAATGCCTCAGAACTACATGGGAAAAGTCACATTAAACAATCTTTGTCTCTCAGGTGCTCTCTGATGTACAGAAGGCCCAACACCTTACAGGATTATTTGGATATTGGGGATGATATGTCCCCACCTGGATCTTCTGTATGGTGCTACCCATTGGCTAGTTTTAAGTAGGGCCTGAGCCAACAGTCAGACCTGGGGGCTACCCAGCAAGCTGCAGTATGCATGCTGCCTCTAGGCTCCATAATAACCACTCCTTTGAGCTTGACTATGGTTTGGACATGGTTTGAGTGCACCCCCTAAAGGTTCATGTGCTGGTAGCTTGGTCTCCAGTGTTGTGATATTGAGGTGGTGGAATCTTTAAGAGGTGGGTCTTATTGGAAGTGAGTTAGGTCATTAGAAGCACTGCCCTTGGAAGGGATTAATGCTAGTCTCCCAGGAGTAAGTCAGCTCACAAAATCAAGTTGTAATAGGAAGCCTGGCCCCTGCATCCCTCTTGCTTCTATCTTGCCACAATTGTTCTCTCCCTCTGGCATACACTCCCACCATGATGCCCTCCACCAAACTGCTTTGAAGCCAAGCCAACCTCACCAAGTGGACTCCTTGCCTTTGGGACTTTCAGCCACCAAACCCTGTAGCCAAAAGAAACCTCTTTACTTTAGAAAGAACCCAGGCTCAAAGCATTTTGTGAGAGCAACAGAAAATGGAAGCTCTAATGTTAGCAGGCTTTCACATGGTTTTTAGTAAACTCCAAGTTTCTGAGACTACTCATTCTTCCAGCTGGAGTGTTTGGCAATGGGAGGCATCCCAAAGAGTTTGAGACCTGTCTTCTCCCTGACACAGCCACCAAACACACTACTTTTGAAAATAAGCTCTTTGCATGCAGCAGGGCTTTGGGGGAAGTCAGACACACAATCCAGTGAGGCCTTATGATTCTCCATTCTGAGATTGGCCAATTCAGACTCCATGACAAGCAAGGTGAGAAAGGACCTGGCCAGCCTCATTCATCAAATGGGAACAGAGATGGCTTCTCATCTTTACACAAACAAGTGGCCATTCCCCCTGTATCAGGGAGAAGAACCAGAAGAGAAAGAGACAGGCTGTGTTCTGATAATGAGGCAGGGGGAAGGGAAAGCATAGCAGAGAGATAAAACATTAAAAAATTGAAGCATAAAAAGGGTCACATAGCACTGAGGAAATGAAATAGCCAATGAAGTCACATGCAACCATATGTGGGTTGAGCTTTGCTTTTTTGCTTCTGTAACCTGCTTGCAAGGGTATATAAGGTGAGACCCCTTTGTTCTCAGGCTCAGCCTTTGGACATGAGTCTACTGGGTCTGTGCTATCATAATAAAATGTTACTTCCTGCTAAACTAACTCAGTGTCCCATATCCTAGCTTGAGATTCCCGCAACACCCTGGTGAGGACTGTTCTGCTCTCTGTTACATTTCTGACACAGAGCTGCTCGTTCCATGAAGGTGTAGCTCCATGGAGCTCCATCAAGGGGCCTGTGCCTGGGTCACTCATCATCTATCTAAGCTGAAACCCAGCAGTGCACACTAACAACTTCAGCTGCCCAGCCTTGGTACCAACCAAGAGAGGTGGGGTCCTCAGCTCAGTAGTCACAGCTCAAGGCCACTCTCATAGCTCTGCCCCATGCCATCTCCTCAGTGAATGCTATTACATTCTTGCTGACCCTTAATTGCTGCAAATGGCCCAGACATTTGGTTTGCCACTTAAACAACTATATAATGACCCTCTCTTTGGGACCATGATCTATGGAAGCAAACTGAAGGGTTGATGTGAACATCATGCCTGGATGCCAGGACTCCTGTGCAGAGCCACCAGAGCACCCTGTCACTGTGCCCAACCACCTGCTGGGCACAGACACAAGGCACTGGACTTGGGACTGCTGAGAGATGCTGTCAAGGTGGAGAGGGAAGCACATCAAATGGAGAACCCCCAAACCACATCATGGCAAAGGGTCCCAAGAAAGCAGCCATCCCTCTTGGCCCACTGTGAAGCTGCTTCTGGTCTACCCACACAATATTGACCTGGCTATACCACGTGGTCTCGTGGCCAACATGAGTCACATGTGTGCCATAAGGACCTCGTGACATTTGATGACCTGTCCCAATCATTCCAAAATCGTTCACTGCACTACCTAATGATCTGATTGCCTCTCACTTCCTCTGCATCCATGCAACTTAGGAAAGCCAGACCCTAAATTCAGCTTCCCCCAAAAGGAACCATTTCCTCCCCTCCAGGCTGCTTACTGGGTTAATGATCACAATGAATAGACAGGGTAAGCCCCAATTTGGCTAGAAAGTAAGGATTAACCCCCCTGATGATGGCCTGGACAAAGGGGAGGGGCATCAGGGGTCCTGACAGACCTCTGGCTAATTTCAATGAAAAGGCATTTGTTCCCTGAAACTTGACCTCCCAGAGGAAAGATCTGAACATAAGGAAGGGGTGGTTGGGTAAAGGGACAGGAAAGATCTGAACATGAGGAGAGGGTGGTTGGGTAACGGGGCAGTTTCTGTGCAGGTCGGTCAAGGGAGAGCAACAACTCAGGTGGCTAGGAGGGGAACCCTTAGGCTCAGGGGAAGTGGTCATCAATGACCCACCCTGGAGACTTGCTCCAAAAGGAAGATACCCCCCACCCCCAATTAGCACTCCCAAACCACCGCCAGGACCAGCCATGCATCCATCTGCTCTAACCAGCCAAAGGCTCTGACCAGGAAGGTTATGTCCCAGCAAAATACCTCTGGGTGTATTCTCTAGCCCCATTCTTAGTTATTCATAGTCAGACAAATGCTCCCAGCTGGTTGTGAACAAGCAGGACCAGAAGACTCTCTTCCAAAACCAGGACTGGACTCAGCTATGAGGACTGAACTGGGAGCTTGGAGGCTTATCAGGCAGCCCAGGTGAGACTTATCAGGCAGCCCAGGTAAGGCTTACCTTAATAGCCCAGGTGAGAGTTACCTAACCAGGTGACATTTATGCACTAACACAAGGGAAGATTATCTTCCCTTAAGTAACCCTATGGAAGGCCCATGGGGGCCACGTGGGAGGCACTGTCAACTGGCGTTTTCCCTTATCTGTCCTCCTGAGCCCCCCAAACTGAAATGGTAATCATGTTCTCAGGTTTTCCTGTGTGGAGCCAGGGATGGAGCTGCCTCTGACTACTCCCCCCAGGGACTTGCACCTTGGGGTGGTTACGAAGAACCTTCCCGCATTGAAGGGAACCCTACTTGTCAATCATGTAGCTCTAAGACAAATGCAGAGCTCTCTCAAAATGAGGCTGCATCCATGACTTGGGTTTTTTACATGATATGATCAGCTTTACTCAGAGGAGCTATTCAATTAGAAGACAAGACACAAGATTTCCCCTGCCTTTAGCTAATGTGGTCACTGACCACATTATATATGCATGTATGGGTGTACTGGCATGTGGTGGTATATATGTATGTGTTAGTATGTGTCTATGCTTGTTTGTGCAGTGTATATCTACATTTGCATATATATACATATCTATATGGATGTGTTGCTCATGTATGTATATGTGTGCTGTTCAGGTTATATGTATATATCTATCATGTGCAGTGTACACATGTACACATATGTGTGATGTGCACCTACATGTGTATATGTATGCATGTGTGTGTGTGTGGTGTGTGTAAACTGGAAAGCCAACCTGAAAGTGGTTAAGTGAGAATAACAACAGATTTTCTTGGTTTTGGCACTGGCCAGCAGCTCTAGGTGCTCTTGGTCACTGTCACCCTGGCCTTCCTTCCTCATTGGCTGCTTGGGGCCTGCTCATCTCTCTAGCTTCTCATTTTTCTTCATCTATCTAGACTCTGGAAATTGAAGGGTCTCATGCTAAGAAGCTTGAACCTCATCTCTCTTCATGACTCACTCCATATCTGGACTGACCAGCAGTTTCAGGTACCTTCTATATGCCAATGACCCTCAGCCATTTCGCATCTCAGGCCAGACCTTTCCCCTAACTCTGGATATACTTTTCTAGCCATTCCTTCAATAACTTCACCTAGAATCCCTGTGAGTACCTCAATTCCTCACAGTCCTTCTAAGACCAGATGTTTCTCTCTTCCTCTGCCAAGTTGCCTGTACCACATCCTGCCTCTCTATAGTCTTCCCCACCTCTGTAAATGGAATCCCCTGAGTTGTACAGAATCCAATTATGTGGTCATCCTGGACCTGATCTCTCTCTTACAATGCCCATCAAACCCACCAACAAATCTGGCTGGTTCTGCCTTCAACATGCATCCAAGATCCAGGAATGGCCAGCACCAGGGCCCCAAGATCCAGCCATGACCAGCACTTACACCCCAGGGTCCAGCCAGAACTCAGGCTGAACTCCAGTATGATGCAGGTTTCCCAGGACAGCTCTCTGTGTCTTCTCTCAGCCTTCCCCTGAAAGTTCCTGACATTATGGTCAAGGAGACAGATGATAAAAGCCAGAACCTGTCCTTTCACTGCTCAAGCACTACATGGCTTTAGTGTAGTGAAGATTCAATGTTGCCCAAAAGAAATCAGACCTTGGCCCACAGTTAATGAACTTGGAGACCTTGAATGTCCTGACTGGTAAGAATATCTGATTTTCCAGGGTCCTTTGATCACATCAGATCACCTATGATAATAACAAGTTGTGACAGGGGCTCTAGGCCATGCAGAATCAACTCAACTTCAGAAAGTTGAGTTGATACTGCATAACTACACAACCAAGCCCACTTAAAAACTGTGAAACCAAGGCTTGGATGAGTTTCCTGGTTGGTATCACTCCATGTGTGTTGTCACACGTTATTACTGAGGTGCTGGCCACATGACTCCACTGGGAGGAGACCTCTGGAAGCTCACACTTGGTGATGCCTGGACCCTGCCCACTGCCTTCTCTTTTCCTTCAGTAACTTTAGTCTGGGTTCTTCTAACACAATAAACCATAAATGTAAATATAACAGCTTTTCTGAGTTCTATGAATTCTTGTAATGAATTATTGAAACTAAAGGTGGTCTTGGTAACCCCTAAAAGCTGTAGTTGATATCAGAAAGTGATGGCACTCTTGGGGACCCCTGAACTTGGCATCAGAAGTGAAGGTACTCTTGGGACACCTGAGCCTACAATTGGTGTCAGAAGTGAGCATGGTCCTGGAGACCCTGCCTTTACAGCTCCCACCACACACAGTGAAATAGGACATGTGCACCATGAACCTCAAATTCTAGCAGCATTTCCACCTTCATCCCCAGCTCAACCTGTTCACCTGCCCATGTGTGTTGCTCCAACACAAGAGCTGCTCAGTTCTCCACCTTTGTCCCCACATCTTCTCATGGCTGCCTCATTGTTCCTCTGGAGTTCTTCAGACCTACCACTTCAGAGGCCTATCTTGACTCTGTCACTCTCAGCCCCTGGCCCTGTTTACTCCCTTGGGTAAACCTGACTTTACATCATAGGTTTATCTGTTCATTACCTGTCCCCTTACTCTATATTGTCAGCCTCTTGACCAGGCCTTACATGTCTCCTGCCCCTCATGTCCCAGACACTGCTGACCAGATCTCATGCTGGGTCCTCAACCTATGCATAGCCTATTTCTCTCTAGTGGCTCTTTTCCACTGCAGAGGCAGCAACCCTTGACTGAGAATCCCATGGACCTGGGATTGTACCTTTGTACCAGCTGACAACAGGCTTAGGTGTACCAATCACACGGCAGGCCAGCTTGACTGTCTCGCCCAGCTCAGCAGTGCAATCAGCCAGTTCCTCTTCAAAATCTGGAGGACCTGAGAATATACACGTATGGGGGGTTTTAAGTGCTCTGTGAATGAGATAGCAGGTCCCTTTGAATACAACTGGCAGGTCTCCTCACCCAATGCCAGTTTCCCATATTCCAGGGTGTGGCTGCTACCATCCAGGATCCCAACCCAGAATCAAGGATGAGTGAGGCAAGCTGGGTTATACTGGGGAAGAGTGGGGATTATGGAGAAGATTCTGTTCTAGTTGAGGAGAGAGACCTCAGAGGGAAGAACCCTCACACCTAGCAGGATCTGGATGGTTGTCCTAAGTGTAGGACACTACTATGCTGTGTCTTCCCACCCTGTTCCCCAAATGTCCCCTATCTGGGTCAGAGCCAACCCAACACCCTGCTCAGGGCTCCCTGTGAGGCTCCAGCCATTGTATCCCACCCAAAACTGACCAGAGAGAGAACAGTCATCTGCACAAGAAACCCGCCCATTCTCTCAACTCTACTGGACACAGGGCCAACAGTTGTCCCACCTGAACACCCCAAGACTCAGGTGCAGCCCAGCTGGATGGCTGGAGGGAAAGGTTCAGGTTCCCCATCCTGCCTCAGCCACCAGGGCCCCCAGAGGGGACACTCACGCCACACAGGCAGGGCCAGGCGCTGCTGGATACCACAGATCTCCTTCACCCAGGAGTTTTTGATGATGACTGTCCGTGCCTGCAGCAAGTACTTGCGTACTGAGTCTTCCCGCTCGTGCCACACCTCAAAGGCACGGTCATCCCCCTCTACCTGGTCATTCAGGTCAATGCTGCTCAGCTGTGGATGGAAGGGAGCATCAGTGGGAGAGGAAAAGGGCTGACCACCTTGAGATGACAGACCCAAAAAGGCCTTTAGCAGGCCTCCTAGGATTGGCTGGCAACATCCACTCCAGAGCCTGAGGAATAAACAGACCTTCACCCACCCATCCTTTCCACCTGCGCTGCAGAGCCCTTGGCAGCCCTGGCACCCACAGACCTTCATCATATTCCGGAACATATAGCTGAAGGTATCAGTGCGAGAGTCTCGCCGGGGTTTGCAGATCACCAGGTGGTTGCGGAAGAGGAAGACATGGCGGTTGTGGCCCTTCCAGGGCATCCGGGCTCCTGGTGCCCCCTCCCATACAATGAAGTGACCCTGGGGGTATGAATGGGCTATGGTTGGCAGGGTTCTCCCCTTGGTGCAGGTCTCACATCTACTCATGTACCCTGCACCCTACCAAATCATGCACATGTATCTCCACCCCTAAACAGCCAGACACAAGCCCCCACCACTACACAGCCTGACCTGGCGGATGGGCTCTCCCAGGGCCTCCAGGGTGCCTGGGTAGTTCTCCATGAGGGACACATGCAGTTTGTTCTCAGCACGCTGAGGCAGGGCCGATACCACTGCATAGGCCTGTTCCAGCAATGCACAGTTCTGCCTATTCCGGGCTTTGTTTCGGATCAACTCCTAAGGTGAGGTACAAGGTCAGAGTTCCAGACTGCTCCAAGCTCAGATCTACCCCAAGGTCCAGACTGGATAGATGAGACTGGGGTCATGCATACCTTCAGCAGGGCCTGGTATTTCTGTATCCGCTCCACTGGTTGCTCTAGGTAGTGTTGAAGTGGTGGTGGAGGTGGCTGTGAAGGGTCCGTGGCTGACAGTGTCTCCTCTGCATATTTCTGTGAGAATCACAAGGGCGGGTTTCAGGCAGGAATGCATGGCCCCCAATGGCTGGAGTCATCCTGAGCTGGAGGACAGGCCCCAAGGGTGTCATACATAATGGCTCTGCATCATAGTAACAAAGGGCTTGGGCAACTTAGGTGTTCAGCTGAGGAGCACAGAGTTACAGGGGCTCTGGCTACCTTTCTCACTAAATAAGGGCCCAAGGGGGTGGGCTGTGGACAGGCTGTAGAAAGGGTTAGGAAATATGAACTCAGGCTGCTAGTGTGGGCTAGCAGCCTATGCATCAGAAGACTTGAGCCAATGGGCCTTCAGACAGGAGCCAAGAACAGGCTTCAAGGCCTGGGAGTAGGCAGTGTGGGACCAACAGACCACTGAGCCAGGCAGAGGTCACCTTATAGAACTCCTGGACGGGTGTGCTAACCACCACCGACTCAGCTTGCACACGGCCCACGAGGAACTCCAGGTACTTCTCAAAGGCCTCTTGGCTCTTGATGAAGCACATGGCCACATCATCATCTGTGTCACAGTGCTGTAGTTCCTGCAAGAAGCTGCCACGGAGGGGTGCAGGGTCAGGACCCCACTGCTGTACTAACCCTGGGACTTCTCTTGGGCAGACAGGCACCTGCCCAGGTGCTAGGCCCTGTGAGGATCAGTGTGCTGAGATGTGTGAGGGCATGTATGTGGATATGCAATGAGTGCATATGTGCACACATTTCAACATAAGGGTGTAGATATATATTGTGAGTGTATGAATATGTGGGTATACATGTGTGTGTGGAGTGTGTGGATATACATACAGGTAGGTGTTTACTGTAAGCAAACTAGGTACAGATGTCAACATGCACATATGTACAAACAACATGTATATATGTATATGAAGGTAGGTGTGTATAAGGAACATACATTTGGGAGTACATTGTGCAGGTGTGTACACAGGCATGCACATGAACACTTGCATGTCTTGTGTGAGTGGGCAAGACAGTGCAGGTTACAGGGGCCTGCATGCATGTGCACATGCACGTAGATACGTACAGTATGTGCATGCACACGTACACAGGGTATGCATATAGATATTCATGTGTGTACATGAGTATGCACATGTGCATGTTAAGCACATGGGTGTGCACTGTGTGGATGTTGCACATGTACACATATTTGCATATATACATGTGTATGCCTGCATATAAGGGATTACATGCATATGGGCTATGCACATGCTAATCAGTGGTAGACATACTTCAGGCCTTCCCATGCATAAACCAGGTGCATATGTCTATGTTCCCAGAGTGAGGAAGGCCCCATCCCCATCAGTGCAGAGATACCATACACTGATGAATAAATCAAGTTGGCACAGATTCTTTCCCTATGTTCCTCCTGCCCACCCTCTGTAAGGCCAGCCTGCAGGTGGTGCCTGCATGTTCATGATCATGTGTGCATGTATGCAGCCCCACAAACCTGCTGTGGAAGTGGCTGATGTCCTGCACATTTCGGAAGATGACTGTCTTCTGGCTGGCCACAGCTGCAGGCACACGGGGACAGTGGTCTAGGTGCTGCATGTGGTGGCTCTGCAGAAACTGCAGCTCACCCACAAAGGTCTGCTCTGAGCGCAGCAGCTCCTGGATGACAGAACTGGCAGGAGGGGAGCCATGAGGCAGGGGTCCAGTGACTTCAGCAGCTGGCCCCTTCTCCTGCCACCTGTATGGGTTCTGGGGAACGGAGTTTCTGAGACAAATTTGGCTCCCTTGTGGCCCACATTCCCTCAACTGCTAAATCATCACATCTCTTGCTATCTGCAGCCTGCTGATGACTTCCAAAAAGGCGGTTCGATGGCAGAGAGATGGTGCCTGCTCCTCCACAAGTGTGCCCCCTCTACCAGGAAGTCATCCATAATGTTCCTGATAGCACAAGGCCTGGGAGGGAGCAGCTTCAGGAACTAGGGTCAGAATTAGGGTCTGCTATGTTCTACTCTGCCTCATCCATCCTTGATTGTGGCTCATATAGAATCAGAATTCACAGGCCCCCACAAAGGAAGTAGGTCAGAATCTCACTAGATCCAGAAGGACAAGTGGCAGGTTTCTATGAGTGATGGGCTGGCCACCCAGTGGGAAGTCCCATCAGATATTCACCTCAGCCTCGTCTTGTACTCGTCTTCAGACATGGCCTCCCCAGGGGACTCAGGGGCCTCAGTGGGCCCCCACTCAGGTGACAACTAGTGAGAAACAAGAATCCATCATAGGTGGTCTAAGCTCTGTTCCCACCCCTGTGGAAATCAGGCTTCCATCCCTCAATGGGGACGACAATCCCAGAGTCCTCTGAGCCAGTGCCAATGTCTCTAGGACCCCTGAGGCTCACCTCCTCACAGCCTAGCCACCAGAGTACCTTGAGCCTCTTGTCCAGGTAGGCAGGCGATACCCAGCCCTGCCGGGAGGGGCTGGATTTGGTGGGCTTGGTGCGTACAAGCCAGCGCAGTGGGTGGGCTGAGTCAAGGACCTCCACATACTGGCCTTCTCGCAGGGTGATGGCATCTTGCTCAGTACCCAGTGGCAGGTAGTCAGCTGTGACCACATAGATGTCAAAAATCTGATAGGGAGGGGGAATAGAGAATTGCCAGCCTGCCCTGCCAAGGTTCCTAGAAGTCCCCAGAGATCTGAGAGGGGAAGGGACCTCCCAAATCCCTCAACAGTTTCCCAAGATCCCAGAGAGAAGGGGAGGCCAAGATGGGAGACCCAGAGAGGTGCCAGCCAGGTTTACTAACTCGACTGCAGAACAAGAGTCCAGGCAGTCATTTTATACATGCACTGACTCCCACCCTCATGCAGAATGGCAAGAATGTAGATGACCTCCCTTGCCCCACCTTCTTACCCCAAAAGATCACTGTATCCCCAGGGACCTCAATAGGGCTACCTGTACTTACTTGTTCACATCTCCTCACTACCCACTACCCTGAGACCTAACAGGATGCATGGTACACTGGAGGGAGGGAAGGAGGCAAGAAGGGAGGAAGGACTAATTCAGTCAGAAAGCAAGTCTCTGTGGATATGGAGAGGACTGGATTCTCATCAGTTCCTGTCTCTAGTGTGCTTTCCATGGGAGGTCTCCCCTCCCTCAGTCAAGTATGGACCTTGCTTCCCTCAAGCCTGAGGCACCATCTCCTGAGAGCCCCACAGAGGACTCTACTCCTGCCCCTCTCATCCCCACACCTCTTTAGGATGGTTAGAGCCCCCTTCCCACCCTGTTCCCCTAGGGTCCTGGCCCACCCACCTCACCACGGGAGTCTCCATCCTCTGACTCTGAGGAAGACTCTTGAACGCTGGAGGAAGGCCGTGACCGGCCATGCCGGGGGGAAGCAGATGGTGTTTTGGACTCCTCATCACTATCACCTCCAGGCACCTGAAGCTTGGCTGGTGGGTGCAAGGGACATGATGCCCCCATAAGGGCTATCCCCAACTTGCTCCTACCCAGCCAGTTTCCAGGGCTCAAGGGCCAGGAAAGACCCAGGCCCAGACCCCAGCCATTCCCTTAGACACACATGCACTGGCCTCTCACCCTGGGTGATCTTGGCTGACACCATCTCGGTGATCTGGGAGGTGAGTTTCTGTAGGAACTCCTCTGTGCCAACCTCAGCAAGGGACAGGTGGCCACGGGCCTCCTCAGCTTCCAGGAGTTCTGGGGGAGCAAAGCAACACTCAGGTGACCGTGTATCCTTCAGATGTTTGCTGAGCAATCCTTACACTGCCTTTCCTCAGCTCTGGGGGCCTCAAGGTGAGCACAGAAGACCAGGCCTCCCCCATGTGATGTTGTCCAACATGGAGACCAGAGGACTCAGCAGCCAGTGAGGCAAGGGAACAACAAGGATTGCCAGGACAAAAAGTCACACTGGCTTATTGGGGTCTGAGCCAAAGTATGACAAATGGGAATTAGAACAAGAGAAACAGGGTCTTCACAGAGGGGACAGTGGGTGGTCAGAGCATGGGAGACACAGTTGAGGGACAGTGGGGTGGCCAATGGACAATTGGGCACCTAAAGGATGGTGGGCAGTCAAGGGACAGTGGGTGACTTAGGAATAGTAGGCACATCAAGGGATGGCAAGTGATCCAAGGGGCAGAAAATAGACAAGGGACAGCAAGTGACCAGGGACGGTGGACACAGACAAAGTACAGCAGGTGACCAGCATGGCTATAGGACAGAGGGCAGGGGAGCTGAGGACCAAGTTGGGTATGGGTTAGAACTGACTAAAGGTCAGACCCAGCTATTAGGCTGTGGGAGGAATCTGGAGCACAGGGACCAAGATGAGTTTGTGCCGCTTCTGTTCTCAATGCCCAGCACCCCAGCCTCCACAGCTTACTGGAGACAAAATCTATGCTCAGGCCTGAACTGCCCCTCAGGGCCCCACAGACTCCCAGATCCAGAGATCAGACATGGATCCAACTTTAATCAACATTTAGAATTGGTCCATAAAAGGACAAGGAGCCCCTGGCCAACACTGCCACTGGGCAGCCTTCCCCACACCCTGCTCTGGCATGGGTGGTTACTCAGAGTACCCACTCTGCCCATACCTTTCCTTTGTCCACCAAGCTCAGCAAAACCCACAGACTCTGACATCTGAGCCGAGATGGCTTGGCTTGTCCTGAAGGAGGAAGAGGTTTCTGAGAGCCTGGGCAGGAGCTCTTGATAGAAAGGGGATCTGGGGGCAATGTGACAGGATACCCACAATCACAGGCTCTACACCAAAAAGGTTCTAGGGGAAACCTTCATGTTACAATGGGGAAACTGAGTTACGCAGCGGGAAGTGGAGACCCAAGTCACACAGCCTGTGAGGGGCATAGCTGGGTTGCAGTGTAGGACAGGGTACTCCCCCAGCAGCAGGGTTGTCCTGTCTCCCACTCCCAGGCCCCATCTATGGCCCTAGCTTGGATAGCCTCCATGGGCTCCCACTCACCCCTGTAGGAAAGTGGAAATGAGAGCTTCCTTCACTTTCTCCTGCTCTTCCTCCTTGGGTACTGTTAGGAAAGCAGGTAAGTTATCAGGATGAGGTCCTGGACCCCTCTGCTCACCTGATTATGAGTACAGACCCCATGCTAGAGCCACCCCCATCCTGCTCTCAGCTCAATGATGACAGAAAACAACAGTCTACCCTCAAAATGAGGGTTGTGGGGAGAGACCTCAGCCAGCTGTACAGAGGGGGTGAGGGCTGCACCCAGATGCACCAGTAGGCCCTGATCTATTCTTGGGGTCTCCCCAGCTCTGTGGAAGGATGAGAGGAAGTGGGAGAGGGGTCCACACAGGGTCCCAGCCCAGATGCTAGTGAAGGGCAACATGCCCTGAAAAGTCCCTGATGCTTCCCAGTGTCCACCTCCTATGTCCCAAGGCTAATATACTCACCACCACTACAACCACTCCCTGCCCGCCCACCCCACTCACAGCCTGAGACATGCAGGCTAGCGGAGCAGAGTGCCTGGCCAGCAGCATTGGTGGCGATGCATGTGTAGGTTCCTTGGTGCTGTTGGCCCACATCCAGCAGGACCAGGCTGTGCTGCTGGGCAGAGCTGGCCATGGTGTAGCCTGGTGTGTTGGGGCTAATCCATAGCACGCCCTTCTCAGCCTCTTCCTTGAGCCAGTGCACAGTGGGGGATGGACATCCTGTGGGTAGAAGGAGCCAGTGGGCATACCCCACTCAGGGACCCCTCCCAGGGTCCCCTCCCAAGGACAGGGCCAACCCCATCAGGAGGAGGGCCTATCCCTGCCAGGAATGGGACCCTTCCACACATGAATGGAGTCTTCAGGAGTGGGATGCTGCCCTGACTCTCCCTGGGGTGATATCTGTCTCTCCCAGAGAATCACCTTACCTTCTACCTTCACTGAAAACGTGATGCTAGAGCCCCTCTTCACTTTCTTGGAGGTGAACCGCTCCAGGATCCGGGGTGGCACCAGCTGCTCATGCATATCTGGAAGGAAATGGTTAGCCCGTGGGGGCTGTCTGGCACAGCCCCCACACCTCCTATGTCCCACCTCCCTCATCACATCTGGAAGACCTTTAAGAGGCCTCTGCAGCCTGTTCCTGCTGGCCCCATGTTATTCCTCTGCTAGACAGCCTCCTGCCCACACCTCCACTGCTGCCACCACCAGGCCCAGGGCCATCCACTCTAGCCTTGGCATCCACAGTCCACCATCCTCTCTTGCCCATCTGGGACCATCTCACCTGACACTGGCTTCTCTTCTGATTCACTGGGTCCTGAAAGAAGCAGAAGGAATCAGACATTCAGCACACACAACTTCCCCTTCTCTTTGTTCCATATATGATGATGTATGGAAGTCCTAACCTGATGATCCTAACTGCTGGATTGGGGAGACCAAAGCAACCCCACCTAAAGGCAAAGATCCCAAACCCTTGCCTGAATCACCAGTGAAGGAGGCATGGAATTCATACACTCGGGGGTGAGAGAGGCAACTGACCACATGGACTAGACATGATGTGACACCCCAACCCACATCCTCATCCCCATGGGGACTCTGGGGCCTTGCTCTAGCACCAACCCATGGACATTTGTGCACAAAACACTGAGGAACCACATTAAGTAATACAGTAGACGGTCACAGGCAGTTCTGGGTTCCTTGTTGCAGGGCAGGTTTGGCCAAACTTGGAATTGGTTTTCAGTGCTCAGGACTTTTTGGAAAATATGGAAATGTAAACTCCCCTCCCAAAGTTACTACTGGCTTCTTGTTCTGTGTGGTTCCATAGTGGCCATAATACTTGGTTCCCTGGATCGACTTTTCCAACAAGCTTGCCCATCACTCAGGACAGAAGGACCCCAAGCCCCCACCCCTGTAGGGTGGACTTGTGGCCACCTATGAGAGTACACTAGAGCCATGACCTGGTGGGCTCTAGTCTAGGTCTGAAAGGGCAGAGAATGCCAGTCAGCCCTGGTCAGGACACTATCTGAGGTTTGTGGCTCTGCTTGGTCCCTCTGAGCACTTACCTCGGACTAGCAGCTGGGCAGATGAGTAGGCAGCACCCACAGCATTGCTGATGTAGGCTGCATACTGGCCAGCATCCTCCCGGTTAACTGAGACAATCTCCAAGGTGTGCAGGGTCTTCTTGTCGGTCATGCGAATGTGGGCAGATGCCGTCAGGGGCTGGCCATCTTTGAACCAGTATAGTCTAGGGGCTGGGTAGCCTGGGGCCACAAAGGGGAATGGTCAGCCCAGAGCCACCTCTCAGTGGGAGACAGATGAAGGCCCAGAGAAAAGAGACCCCAGGGTGCTGGCCTCCTAACCCAGGCACCAGGTACATGATACCACCTTTCCTCTGCTGGTTGGAGTCCCTTCCCAACTGTGGCTGACGGGAGGCAGCACCCACTGTGATAGTGGCCCCACCTCCCAGGAAGATGGGGCTCTTACCTTTCACTTTCAGCTGGAACTTGACCAGGCGTGTGCCAGGGGACACCTGGAGGTCTTTCAGCTCCTCCACCACCTGGGGCAGCTGCCCCTCATCTGACTCAGTTCCCTCTTGCTCCCGGCTGGCAGAAAGGACAAATAAGGGGCATCCATAAAGTAGACCAGTAAGGGGGTCCAGGGCAGGAGGGGCCTGCAGGGGTAAATGTCAGGCAACAATGGATTTTGGGGTTCTCACTCTGCTGAACTGACAGAAACTTTCAGGACCTGGTAGACAGCTCCAGGATTTGGATCATCAGTCCAAGGCTCACCCCAGAAACCCAGCATAGTTGCTTCCCCAGAAGCCCTGGATCATAGTCACTGGGCTCTGCCATGTCTGTGGGGCCCCTACCTGGACAGGTATCCCTGGGCACTGAAGTATGATGAGGTCTCTGTGGCATCAGCTGCAGTTTCATAGTCTGTGCTTGTCACTGGGGAAGGAAGAGTAGTGCTAGAACAAGGCTGGCTGCCCATATTCCCAGGCACAGGCCCCGCACCCAGATCACCTCAGCAGCCTTGCTGGGATTCACCTACGCTCAGAAGTTGGGAGGTGGAAAAGCAGCTGCCCTGTGCCCTCTCATTTCCTGGACTGTTTCTGGCCCCAAATTTCCAGGCTTGAAACTAATTTATAAGTCTTTTTGACTCAAAAAATTATAAATATCACATGATTTGGATCTTCATAAATGGCAGTGACAATGGCAGAACCTTCTGGTTCCATCCTACAAGAGCATTGGCCTATAAAGAGGTTGGCCTCAAAACTGAGATTAAGTAAGAGGGACTGGAATAACCCACTGTTTTAGATTAAGTGCTTGTATCCCTCATAAAATTTGTATGTCATCCCTGCATGTGTAAGGCCTTGGGTTCAATCCTTGGTACTGAAAAAAATGTAATTCACAAAATTCTTATGTCAAATATTAAACCCTAGGTGATGGTATTACATTTGAGCTTTTGGGAGGTGATTAGATTATGAGGTGAGGCCTCATGAATAGGATTTGTGTCCTGATAAGAGACCATCCACTGCCTTCTTTGTACCATGTTCCCACATGATGCTATATGTTTTCTTCTAGACTAATCTACTATTAATCCCAACCATTGTATTTTCCTCTGCAGTACCACTTTAGCCTTTTTAAAAATACATTTTGTGTTCACTTACCTTTTTGATTTATGGAATAGTTCTAATATCTAATATTTTAATGACCCCCCTCTGCCAGTTCTAACAACTGCATTGTTTTTGATTGATTGATTAAATCTCCACATTCCAGGTTGTTTTCTTGGCTTTTCACATGTCTGTCAATCTTTGAGTAAATGCCTGACATGGTGATTTCTATCCTATGGGGAGCTGAATATTTTCCTTTTCTACAGATACAGAGTACCAATAAAACATACAACAAGAAAAAGGCTATCATCAAGCCCTAACCATGCTGATCTCTGAACACAGATCAACAGTCACCAGAACTGTAAGAAATTTCTATTGTTTATAAGAAACCCAACCCATGATTTTTTGTTTTGAGACACATTCCTATCACAAACAACCAAAAAAAACCAAAACAACAAAAGCAGATAAAACATAAGAAACAATGGTTTTCAAGCTGCTGGAAATTAAACAAATGGAAGACAGTGATCTCTTAGTGAAAGAGAATCATGGGGGAGGCCTATGATTTCTCCAGCTTCCAGTTTCCAGGCCCAGGCAGGAGAAACTGAGGCAAGGCCAGGCAGATTCCTTGAGTTGAGAGTGCTGGGAGACCTAGGTAGCCAGAGTTCATAGCTGCACAGAGACAGGAACACCCTCCAGCATTCAGCATGTACTGATTAGCATGTGTATGAGGAAAGACCCATTTGAAAGGACTGAAGGAAACCATGTCAGGACTAATGCCTACTTCCACCAGTCTACTAGAAAAATTAACAACTTACAGGGATCTTGGTGTTCAGGAGAGTTCTTGCCTGAGGAGCTGAGGAGTGCAAAATAATTAGCCCTAGACAATGCCCTTCTCCAGACTCACCTAACAAATCATAAAGGTGCCAAATTATTTCCTAATAACTGTGTCCCAGTGTGGCAGGAAGGCAGGGAGGGGGAAGAGAGATTAATGAGTGCTACAGTGAAACAAAGGAAAACTGGAGTTGGGAAATGTTACCTGGAGACCAGAAGAGGTTCACCTCACCCCAGAGGTTAAAACAGCCAACGAAATAACATGTGATTACGTATAGGACAAGCTTTACCCCCCTCAATTTCTGTAACCTGCTCTAAATGATATATAAGGAAAACTCCCTTTGTTCTCGGGGCTCAGCCTTTGGACACGAACTGCTGAGTCACTGCTAGCTTGCTTAATAAACTTACTTCCTGAAAGCTTTGGTACCCTCTCAGTCTCTATCTGAGCCCTCCTGCAACATTTCTGGGGCTCATCCGGGATTTGGAGGGTGGTATTTTCACTTCCTTGTCACTGGCTCAACATCCCTGGCCCTCCGGGAGGGCCTCCCCTGTCAGGTGCCATCGGACCATGGTGATCCAGGGAAGGGAGCCTCTCTCCTAGTGAGCTGAGGAGGTGAGTTCTGGTTGCACAAAGGAACCTGGAAAGGCTCAGGAATCAACCTGGGAGCCTGATTCATCAGACTGGTAAGAACCTGGATTCAAATTCAGGTCTGCTTTATGAGGCAGAAGGGGAATCTGGTCAACTCTCAAAAGGTACCCTAGTAACTGCCTTTTTTGGGGTGAAATTGTGCCTTTCAGGTTCAGGAAGTGGGGTGGAGGTACTGTGCTGTGTGAGCATGTGAAAGTGTGAGACTGAGATGTAGACTAATTACAAAACGAGTGTGAAGTCCTGATCCACAGGTCCCTGGCAAACTCATATGGTCTAGGGTGAGCCCTAACAGGGCCTACAGACTCACTATGGCCAAGAGACACCTAAATCCCCACAAGGGGAGCAGCCAGAGATGGACAAAGTGAATGGTTATTTGTTTTTCCATGTGTGCCAGAGAGGAAGACCCCTTACGCCCTCTCCACAGCCCTCATCCCTTCCATATTTGTCTCTGTCTAGACATCTGGCAAATGGGATGAATGGGAGGAGGTCAGAGTAAGAACACACCCCACCCCCCAAGAACTTTAAGAGGGGATTTAATGGAGTTTATGGGTTCAGGATGACTCCTGACAAGCTTAGGACCTTCTGTGAAATAGACTGGCCTGTTTTGGGTGTCAGATGGCCCTTGGAGGGGTCATTTGATAAGGACATAGTCAATAGAGTTTTTAAAGTGATTGTAGGGGAGCCTGAAACACCCAGATAGTTCCTTATATTGACTACTGGCAGGATGCAGTCCTCAGTCAGCCCACATGGCTAAAGCCGTACCTAGAGGAAGCATGTAGGGTCATGGTAGCCAGGGTGGCAGCAGCTTCCAAGTACAGGGAAAAATGTAAAAAAAGAAAAATCCATATTAGTGGGGGACCACAAGGAGTCCCTGCCTCCCTTATGTGCTACCGTACAGATTAGAGAATTTCTAGGAGCTGCAGGTTTCTGCCAGATCTGGATCCCCAATTACTCTCTCTCGACAAAACCCCTTTAAGCCACAAAGGGGCAAAAACGGGAACCCATGGTGTAGAAAGAGGAGCAAAAAAAGAGGCCTTTAAAAAAAAATAAGAGGGCACTCACAAATGACCCTGCTCTCGGCCTGCCAGATGTGATAAAGCCCTTCTTCCTATGTGTACATGAGAAACTGGGAACCGTATGAGTCTTAACCCAGCTGCTGGTTCCTGGCACCACCCAGTTTTCTGTTTATCAAAGCAACTTGATGCAGTTTTGCCAGGCTGGCCACCCTGCCTGTGCACCCTGGCAGCTACTGCCATCTTGGTGGCTGAAGCAGACAAACTTACTTTGGGACCAGAACTCACAGTCCAAGTTCTCTGCTCTGTTTTAACTCTCATGGAATATAAAGAAATTATTGGTTAACAAACTCCCAAAGGGTCAAATATCAAAGCATGTTACGTAAAAACCCGCATGTCCAGCTAGAGGTTGTTAAGACTCTAAACCCAACCACCCTATTATAGGTTGATTTAGGCCCACCGGAGCATAACTGTCTAGAGATTACGGATAAGGTGTTCTCCAGCCAGCCAGGCTTGACCAACCAGCCCATTAGTCATCCAGATGTTGAGTATTTCACAGATGGCAAGAGCTTTGTCTGAAAAGACACATGTTTTGCCAGATATGCAGTAATGACTCCAGACACTGTCATTAAAAACATGCCATTCAGGACCTCTCACTCAGGAGAAAAAGTGTTAAATATGGACAAAAAAATTCTAAAATTACTAAAAGCTGTATGGGCCCCTAAGTGAGTAGCAGTCATACACTGCTGAGGGAACCAAAACAGGGAGACAGCAGCTGTTTGGGAAATCAAAAGGCTGATAGGTGAGCCAAGCAAGCAGCCCTCTCAGGAGGACAAACCTCAGTCTCACTAGCAGCTACCTTGTTCCTGTGTCCCTTATCTAAATGGGACCCACGGTATACTTCACAAGAACAGGCTTGGTTTGAGACTGAGGAGGAAATTTTCTACCAGATGGAGGGTGGAAGTTTACTGATGGCAGCATTGCCATACCTGAGTCACTGGCTCGCACATTTGTCAAGTAGTTCCATAAAGGAACTCACTCAGGGCAAACAGCTCTCAAGACCACTGTGGCCCAACATTTTTATGTCCCCAAGCTCTCCAGCATAAGTAAAACAATATATAAAAAGTACAATCTGTGTGCCAGAAAATTTGTAGATATTTGTCTACACCTTCTCAGGATGGATAAAAGCCTCCCGTACTTGGATTGAGAAAGCCGAAAAAGTGATCAGGTGCCTGTTTAGAAAAAAATCATCCCTCAATTTAAAATACCTGCATCTATTGGGTCAGACAATGGGCCAGCCTTTGTGACTGAGGTTAATGGCCAAGAGATTAAAAATAACTTAAAAGTTACATATGGCCTACTGCCCCCAGAGTTCAGGGAAAGTAAGACATATAAACGGAACTCTAAAATTACAACTAAAAAAACTATGCAAGGAGACCCACCTACAATGGGATCAGTTACTGCTCATAGCCTTGCTCAAGATTAGGTCTAGCCCAACCCAATGGATGGGTCTCTCCCCTTTTGAAATGCTTTTTGGATGTCCACCCCCATTAGCCAAAGGCCTGTGAGAGGACCTTAAAAAAACAGATGACCTCATCCTGAGACAGTAGATCCAGGGCCTTGGGTTGACTCTCTCAAAAATCAACTGGGCAAGAGAGAGACTCCCCATTAGCCTGACAGCTCCCACACACCCTTATAAACTAGGGGATGCTATTTGGGTAAAGGAATGGAATGTTCAACTGCTAAAGCCCCACTGGAGGGGCCTTTTGTTGTTGTTTTGTCCACCCCCACCACCATTAAGGAAGAAGAGATCTCGTTTTCTGGACCCATCACAGCTGAGCAAAGCCAGCTTCCCTCAAATGTAAGTGCATCCCTGACCCAGCCTCACCATACAAGAACACCTTCAAAACACTAGCACCAGGAAGGATCCAAGATGGTGACTAGGGTGCAGAAGCAGACAGCATGAGCTACGTAAGTCAAAAATATTCCTGAGATGCTGAAGCAGATACTTGGCAGAAACAAAGCATCAAGAATAACCAAAACTTCGACACCCTGAACCCCTAGCCTATGGAAAGCTTCTCCATGCCATATTACACAGAGAAAACAGGAGGGCTCCCGCCGGCTTTAAACCTCTTAGGAGACATTCAGCAGACCACAGGTGAGCACCAAGCTCATGTGGTATTCCCCAGCCACCTCTGGGATAAACCATCATAGGCCCCTCGGCAGACTGACCCCCATGCCCTGCAAAAAACAAAACAAACAAACAAAAAAAAACACTGAAAATAAACAAGGAACTGAAAACTAACACACAGCAGAGGGGGCGGGGTGCTGTAAGTGCACTGGAGAAGGGGAGAGAGGCAAGGAGCTGATCTCCAGGCAAACTTTCAGTAAACAAAGGCTGGAAAGGGAGAAGGGCCAACAGCAGGCCAGTGATAAGCCGCTGCCTGAAATAGGGCAGGTAGCAGTCCACAAAGCTCATCTCCTGAGCCAGTAGGCAACATCCAAAGTCAAATGACACTGCAAAATTGAAAAATAATCAGCAAACCATCACAACACGCTGACAGCAGGGGGCCAGCTGACGGACCACTGACCTTGCCCCAGAGAAAGGGAGCAAGGCAAAGAAACAAGGCCCCAGTAAACCAACACAGTGAAAACTCAACTCCAAAGCAGGACAGCTGGTGGGCTACAGAGCTAATCTCTGGAACCTGAGGACAACATACAAACTTAACCGCTACATCTCACTGAGGGAGAGACTGACTAAGCAGCTGTTGCTGGAAGACAGAAGAAAAACTGGTGAGATTCCCCAACCACCTGGTGAGACTAAGACAGAGCATTAGTCTTAATGCTTAAATACCAACACCAGGGCTGGATGCTGAAGGAGTAACACCAGAACTACTAAGACTGAAATTCTATTGTTCCTGAACCTGGAGTTCTTTTGTGTGTGTTTGTTTGTTTGTTTGTTTTGTTTCTTATTTGTTTGTTTGTGTTTGTTTGTTCATCTCTCCCCATTGATTTCTTTGGGGTTTTGTTATTGTTATTTTGTTTTGTTAGTTTTACAATTGTGAGTTAGTCAATACTAAATTATACCCAGACCAGGGACAGAAATAGCATATATACACTAACTTAAAAATCCAATACACCCACAAAACAAAATTAAACCAAGGGAAAGAAAACAGGCATCTGAAATCCCAATAGCCTAACAAGGACATACTTACACAATATCAAGTGGAGCGACAGGAAGACAAAAAAGGGATGGAAACCATTTTCCCCCAAAAAATAATTTAATACGGGATTCAGAGGGAAATGAAGAAAACGGATACCCAGTTACAGACTCCAACAAAACAAAGATAAATGACGCCAAGGACCCTAACAATACTGACAAAATCATCCTTAAAGAAGAAATCTTGCAAGTAGTCACTGAGAATTCATGGAAATGTTACTAGACATGTTCAACCAAAACATACAAGAAGCACTCAAGAAATTCCAAGACACCAAAAATAAAGAATAGGAGAAGACACAGAAACAAATAAATGAACTCATAGGAGCCCTAAATAAACATCAAAGTGAAACAGAGAACACTATAAATAGATAAATGAATTAAACATGAAAATAGACAATATTAAAGAGGAAGTGACCCATCATATGGAAAACCTCAGAAAAAAGAATGAACAAATA